CTAAAAAATTTGAAAAGAGAGAAGAGGGGAGAGAAGGAAGAAGAACCACCGAGAGAGATGAGATGAGATGAGAAGGAGAGAGAAAATATGAGATTCAAATGAAAAAAGGAGGAGATAGTAACAATTTTAAGTATGTTAATTTTGGAATAAATAATGAYGTCAGCAAATGCTTACGGAACATAAAAATGAGGAGAGCAACACATCTCACAACGAATCTCTAAAAAATGCTATTTAGCTCGAAACCCTATCAAAATCAGGATTAAAAAACAAATGAAAATTTGATTTTAAAGATTTAACCACGTTTTGTAAAAAAGAAGAAAAAAAATCCGAATAAAAGGTCACCGTCACGTGAGTTCCGACATCATCCTGTTGGGTTTACAGATTCGCATCTCACGCAGATCCCCCCTTTTCAAGTCTTTACCGAACGCGAACGAAAAATAAGGCGCCTATGGGCTACGGCCTTTCCACCCTCCCGCGCGTTCCATTCCTCCTCCCCCGATCAGATTTCAAACGCCGGCCATCGATCGCTGCTTCCTCTGCATCCCCAATCTTCTCTTCGTTCCGATGCCTCAATTTCACAGAATTCCGCTGTCTACTTAGAAATCACGCCAACTCTTCGTATCAACTGCTGGTATTCTTTTTTGCTTTTTCTAATTCGGTGTTTTTACGCGAATTTTGAAATTTTAGTTATAGCTGAATGCACGACAATGATGGTTTTCGTTTCGGAATGATCTGCCTGGGATGTTGGCGATTATATAAATTCAGATTCGCGAATACGAACGCGAGAATTGAGCTCAGGGGAGACTGTCTTAAAGCGTAATGCAATTGCAGGGTTCTTTGAAATTCAGTTTGTTGGGAATGAGATTTGTTTTTTAACCTTTTTTACCCCTTGGTAATTTTATCGGTGTCGAGCATTTTGTCCTCTCTCCGACAGGGACTGACGTTAGGTAATTTGATTAATGATTTTGCAGGTTGACAATATTCGGCGCTCTTCATTTGAAGTCTGTATAGTTATGGCCTGTTCATAGCTTTTCTGTAGATGGAATTTTTATGGCGGTTCTTTCTTCTTTGTCATCCTGATAACGTGTTTTTTCAGAGTACTCTATGTATATAAATATTCTATATAGGATCCAGTAGTTAGTAGCAATTTTAGTAAAACAATAGCCCATCGTTTTCCCCTTAGAACAGTGCTGTTAGTTGAAGAAAGGCGTTGGAATTGTTAATATTTCTCAATGGACGACACATTACCTAGTCCACGATCAGGCATGATGATACCTGAACTTGATGTTAGTGGTGGAAGTAGAAAGTCTCGGAGATGCTTAATTGTCGCTTCTCGCTCGAAAGCATTTTCGAAGAATGCTATTCGGAGTGTAGCTTCACTTAGCCAGAGCAGAATAGCCAGCGGCGCAGTTGGTCAGGTGACATTTTTCTTGCTCAAAGTTGTTGCACTAGAGACAGTAAGAAGGTTATCAAAGTCGAGGTGTCCTTTCGCTTGGCGAGGTCTTCAAGCTTTGCAGGTTCTTTGCTACCCACCATTTAAGTGGATTCAGAGATGGACTCCTTTCAGGGGTTTAGTCAAAGGCATGCAGGTCTGTGCTGTTAACTTCTCATTGATTTATTATGACCATTTTTTTAGAATTTTGACAGACAGGCCTAGCTAGTATTCTTACTATACCACATCTAATTTTTAAGTACCTTATCATCTGTTCTGTTCATTGGTCCGTTAATGTGTGAACAAAATAATATAGCTCAGGCCTTGAGGATTCAGTCTGACTGAGCATTCCTATATCTTGAACTTCTCTGCTTATTCTGGTCCTCACATGATGTTTTCTTATTGTTAGTTGTTGTTGTTGGTTTGTTTTTGCTTGCATGTGCATCGTGTGGATTAGCCATGTTCCCTTCTCTCTGTCTTGATAGTGGTCCTAACCTGCTCCCTGGAATGTCATATGTAGATCCTATTCTCCATTAGACATCACAACGTGGAGAGCTTACCATAATTGATTCGTCTTAAATCCTGGTTTGAATGTGGAAGTGGATATTATGCTAATTAAAGAAATATGAACTAGAATCTTGTTGCTGTTTCTTAATTCAAATATTTGCTAACTTTCTAATGTCAATCCTGCTAGCACATGTATGATCCACATCTTTCTGTTGATTTTGTCAAGATGGCAAGATTTTTTTTTCTTTAAAAAAAAAAAAGGTTGGCGTTGGCCAGAAATGCAGATGCAGCCACCAAAACTTGGGGATAATCGATGAATGATTCCTGCTCTCCCCTTCTTTTATTCTTAATATGCATTTTTTTCTTCATTGAATTATATGATACCTTTATTTTTCCAGATATTGTCAAAGCCATTACTCGTACTATCAATAGCAACATCACTCTCTGATCAGACTGAGTCCATGAGTGGAAACTCAGATGGCATCAGTGATTCCCCTTCATGTTCTGAAATGTACTCAGAACTATCCTCTGAAAACTCTTCTACAGATGCAAGGTACTGTAATCAGATGAGACTAAGGTTCTTGAATTTCACATCTTAGATCAAGGACCTTCATTATTTTTGCTTTGGGTTATTAGTTGAATCAGGGAATAAAAAATTGGTTGATATGTCAACATTGTAATATTTCAGTGGATCTGATATATCTATAAGGGGATAAAGTATTTCTTCCTCACCATCGACAACATGTTGACATCCTCAAAATGTTGAAGACATGAGACATGGCAACCAATGTATCCCAGCCTCGTTAATGGACAACTAAAAAGTTCATGCTTCCGTGTCCTATTAATCATAAAGATCATATATCAGATGCCCACTCTAGCACTCCTTCAGACCTCAATGACAACGAAATGTGAGATTGGAAGCCTCTGCCTCCCATCGTTTTTCTTGGATGGGGGACATACAACCCACACCTCTCTAGTCTCTCCACTCTCCAATTTACTCTCTCCCTTGTACATCTTCTCTCTCCCACCCTGGCCCCACTCCTCCCTCATGCCGTCTCTTTCTCTTTCTCTCCCTCCCTCTCCTTCCTCCCTTTTGATATTATTCTATTCTCAAAATCCATTATTGAAATGTATTATTATGTTATATAAGATAATTAATGATATGATTTACTATAAATTGTTTATAAATATGTATGTACTTTGTTTAAATATCAAAATTAATAATAGTATATCATGTGTGTGAATCTTATAAATTCATTTGATTTTTATCTCTCACTCTTACACGTTTTTATTCCTCTTCAGGTATGTAATCATACCCTCAATTATATTCATCTATTCGCCATTTTCTGATATTTCACAAATGCTGTCTCTATTTGAAAGTTGTTGATCTTTTTCGAATCCGTGACTGCGCTCTACTAACCTTTAAATAGTTCACATAATTTACAGGGCCTGTGATGAGACTCCACCAAGTATTGAATCTGAAAATTGGTTTGTCCGTCTCTCTAAAGAGCTCGAAAGCCAAGGTTTTAGTCTGCCAGAAAGGTAATTTCTGATTAGAATGCCGTAAATCTTTATAGAAGTTGTTGACTGAAGAGGCTGAACTGAAATGTTAGGCTTTAGACTCTATGGTCATGACTAGGGATACCTATGTTGATACTAACAACTACCTTACACCTATGTTTTTATCATTTGAGGTATTAAGTTCTATAACTTAAAAGCTCCATCTTCCTCCAAATTAACTACTCTTTAGTTTCTCCCTTTATATGTGTGTCTACTTCGTAGTTCGTTTAATTCACTCTATGCATAGGTGGTTGTTATTATTTTTTGTGGCATTGTGCATTCATTCTCTTGTATCCTTGCTTACTGCAATCATGTTTATTGAAGAAATTAGCTATTGGAATTTTTGTGGATGGATTCATGGGCTTCTCTTATTGCACATAACTAAAACATTTTTATTTCATGAAGATTTAATGAGGACGAGCTTCAAAGATTCTATACAGCTGCAAATGGTGACTTTGCATCTTTGTTGTCATCAATTAAGAAGACAATTCGCTGGAGAGAAAATTACAAAATACTTTCATCTTCAGAGCTTGACATGTGGTCACATATGGTCTTCTGGCATGGATTTGATCTGAAGCACAGACCTTGCCTCATAGTACGGCTTGGGCTAGCTTGCATGAGCTTGTCATCTGAAGATAGACCCCGTTTTACCCAAGCGATCAGTATGTCTCTTATTTTTTATTAACAAGCTTATTCTTTTGTTTCTTGGAACATCTATAACTCCAACCTATTTCTCAGAAATCTAGATCTCTCTTTTTCACCGACGATGAGCATTATACTCAGCTTAAATTTTAGGGTGAAAGTTACTACTTGTGACTGAAACTTTTTAGGTGCAGATCGTGTGCATCTCACCATCTACTCAGTGCTAAAGATCTAGTTTCATGTTAAAAAATTCCCTATTACTCTAGGTTTATATTATTGGTCTCTTGAACTTCTAACGAGAATCTTGATGATGATACATTTTTGTTGGATCAATATCCAGATTACAGGAAAACGAAAAACTATTTTGATTGAAGTATTTTAATGGTTTAGCATTTGGCATTAAACTTGCATTGTAGATAATGTGATCGTTGTTTTACGTTGACTATATAATACTCTTTTTAGTGTTCTGTTTGTCTTAATTCTAAAGGAACACTTTCTTTCTTATAGTTCTAATTTTACCTGTTGAGCTATTGTTACGTAAAACTGAAATGCTATAATCACAGTATCTCAGGTAGAACATGGGGTCGTTGACCTGGTTGATGCAGAAAATCCCAAAATTACAGTTTTAGTGGATTGTGAAGGATTAACTCCTTTTAAAGTTCCCATGCAAATGATGAGATATTGTTCTTCCCTTCTGCAAGATCACTTCCCAAACCGTCTCGGCTGTTTGTTTGTCATTCGGCTCCCTCCAGTCGTCCGTCTCCTTGCTCAAACTTCCATTCAAGTAAGACTATTCCTTCCTCTTTTGCACTTCCTTTTTCCTTGTCGATATTTTGATTATGAATTAAACTATAAGCCTAGTTTGGGAAAGAAGTGGTTTGAAGTGAAACACTTTTTCTAATTAAGTGCATTTTCTAAACGCACGGTTTAAGTACTTTTTATCGTTCCAAAAGTCATTTCAAACTCACCTTGCGGTTCTTCTGAGTTCCTCTGACACTTCTAAGTATGATTTTTTCTTTTAGATTCTGAAACCCGTCACACGGAAAAAGTTGAAAATCGAGGGGGAGACTACATATGAAAAGGTTCTATCTGAGTACCTGAAAACACTACCTAGATATCTTGGTGGGAAATGCTCCTGCCCGAAATGTTCAAAAGTAGATTTCCATGATGTGCAGCGACTGGATACAAATGAGACAGTGAACAGAGAGTTGATTGCTGAGGGAATTCATGGGGACGATGCGATTTTACAGTCTCAGATGTATGAGTTTGAGAATCACTTGCATGGAAACTTTGATCAGATGATAAGAACTGGCGTCATAAGCATCCTTATGTTGTGGGTTTTCGTTGCTGTCATTGCCAGTGCGTATGATCCCGAGAGCCGATTCTTTTTCCCCTCGTGATCGAGAAGCAAAGAATCAAGTCGTACCCTGTGAGCGAGCTCGAATTTCATCTCTAACGTTGCAAATTCTGCATTTTGCCCAAAGGGGAAAATTAAGGAATTGTTCTTGTCATGTTTAAATAGCGATATGTGGTATCAGTTGTGCCAATAGTTCATGGAGTTGTAGTAGCAGTGTCGGACCTTTTCAAAGAAGGTGTATTTTCTCTTCATAATTTCAAATAATTGAAATATAAGAGTGGTTAAGTTGGTATTGTTACTTCAATACTATTTTGATTTATATTTATATTATTTCAATATTTAAACTTTTTACGTCTTAGTTTAAATACTATTTTGATTTAGATTTATGTTAGTTCGATATTTAAACTTTTTATGTCTTATTAACGGTTTAAATACTATATATTTATATTAGTTCAATGTATAAACTTTTGAAACAGTATTTAGGAAATTTCAATAATAGATGAATTTGGTAGTCATATTTGTAAATTTTTCATATGCAAATTAACAATAATAAATTGTAAAAGTGACAATTTTTTCTCTAGTATAACATAGACGTACCATGTTTCTATCATTAATAGAGTATGCACCGATGTACCATGTTTCTATCATTAATAAAGTATGTCACCGATGTACTTAATACAAAGTATGTTATTGATATACTATCTACATAACGAAATATATCATTATTTTTAATACTTATGAAATATATCGTTGATAGAGTCTATCATTGATATATCGATGTAAAATGATATTGTGTTGATATATAATTTTTATATCACTGACAAGTGTATTGTATTTACCTAATTAAATATTTTTTTAAGAGGTTATCTAATATGAAGTATAGTAGTGGTATACATATATCACTAATGACATACCTAATATGATGTATATCGTTGATATATATATATATATCACTATTAATATTAGATGTATATAATATTAAGTATATCATTGATATACACATATGACTACTAATATACCTAATATAAGATACATCAAGTATATGTTACTTATATATCATTTTTTATCGGCATAACAGGTAAAACAAAAATGGGGTATGAGGATTTTAACCTCCAAGGAATATGTCTTAATCGATGAGCTATGCCCGTACGTTGGCATGTGTCACGGGTATACGAATTCCTGCATTTCCATCATTTTTGTAAAATGTTTGATTACATGACAATTTTGCACTTTTCTACACTATATTAGCTATTGTCACTAAAGCTCTTTAATTTGTTGTATCTGTACATCCATTTTTTTTAATTAACTACCTAACAACAAATTTAATTAAACTCTGACACTTTTACTTCGTACATGCAGTGTTGGAAAATTATGATATTACGAGAATATGAATATTACTATCATTTATCATCAAACATGTTAGAATCATTAAAAATGATGTGAGATTCACTGACGTTAATATAATTATTTATATTTTGATATTTATTTATCTTCATCCACGCGATAGAGCTAAGATGTCTTCAGTATAGTTGTCTGGGTTAGTTATTGGAATGTCTATGAATAAAAACTAGACACTTGGTGTGATACCAACCAAAGGTTCTCGATCATTGGGGTTGATTTCATACCTTAAACTGAACATTGCTTGAATATTTATCAGGAATAATTCCCTTTGGTTGCTAATTTTCATGCCGACCCACACATATCCTCATCTGTAAGTATATTCACCAATGCTCTTGGACAACCACGCGACCGCGGTGAGCTATTGCCATACAATCTTCATCACGTGTGATTATTACTTCATAAGTCAACCACGTATGAGTTATTGTCCTACCTTTATACTACCTATTTCGTGGCGGCCTATCACAAGAGCATTTATAAATGTGTAATTGACATGGCACGTGGTTCACCGAGGCCATTACACTTGTAGGTGGAGGTGGGTCATTATTAGACTGGTTACAAGTTTCAACACATCCAATTATGCTAGGTGGATTATTTAGCTAATATGATTTTCTCGAATGTCCAATTGCTACATATGATTAATCGTGTTATGTTTAAGTAATTAATCAGTTAGTTATATTTATCATTAAACTAAAAATATGTACAGTTATCCCTTTAATACAAAGTTACGTTGATATAAGTCACGAATACAACGTGGATTAGAAAGATAATAACAGAAAACTAATAGTCTGTTTAAATAACAACTAATCAATAAAATTAATCATTTTCATGCAAAACTAAAACATTATGAACCATAATTTTCCATAGCAATTTAYAAAAGATAAATTATCATGCAAATAAAAAGTGGTACATATTATAATAGTACTACAAACTTTTCCYATTAAACACACATTTGTGTGGAGGGATCTCTACTTAATACTTTCCATCAATAGACAATAGACAAAAGACATGCTTAATTAGTCAATGCGAACTTAGYTCAATTAGTTAAGATAAAAAAATCGCGAGTTTGAATTTCCACTCTAATATATCTAACATGCATGTTGTCGTATTAAAAAAAAAAGCTAAATTATATTACGTTTGTAAAAATAAAATTATGTAATATCTATAAAGAAAAAAGAAAAGAGGGAGATGACTAAATTGCAAAATTTTTATTGTAAAACATATATAATAAAAAAACAGAAGCAACAGAAAAGGCCGGAGCCGCATAGCCCAGGCCCAAATATTTTCAGTAGATAATGGAAATGGACATGGGCTAACGTGACTTAATATAGGCCCAGTTTAGCAAATAATTCATATAGGCCCAAAAACACGAGAATACCAAAAAAAAAAAGAAAGAAAAAAACTGTGGCTGCTGAGATTCGAGCCCAGGTCTCCACGGCCACAACGTGGAATTCTTACCACTAAACTACAGCCACTTGTTGTGCTAAAGAATTCCAACTAAACAAATTAAGCAAAACAAAAGAAGACTAAGAAGTAATTTATGATTAATAAAAGGTTATTGGATTCATAATATAAATATTAGAATGAGATTCTRTAATTTGTTATAAAGTACTTTTTTAAGAGTTATCTTTTAGACTATAATTTTGTCACAGTGATATAGATATATGYTTATATGATCTTTACGAGAAAACAAATGTATAAAGTATAGAACAACAAATTGTCGTTTTCATTTGACACTATTAGGTACACGTAATATAAAAACTATAAATTTTAGCATATAAACAAATATTTAAATAAAAAGTCAAATCGTTAGGCAAAYTAGATACACATGACACCATCGCACCTTTACTTACGTCAAAGTTTATACCTCATTAATCTCGTTTATTTTATTTTTTACATCATTCACGCATGAATTGGTGTTTTAAACTAAAATAAAATTGTAACTTATTGAACTGGGTAGTCTTAAAATTTAAATTGCAATTAGAGAAGTTTAATAATTTAAGAACATAGTATTGAAATTGTACTAAATTTAAGACAAATAAGGTTTTTGAAATTGTATTAAATCATGGTTTAATAGTATAATATAATGTTTTTCGAAATCGGACATTTGCGTAATTTGGGCCTTCCCGCTGCCCGGTTTCAGGAAAATTTTACCCCCGCCCGCCAAAATACATTTCCAAAGCACAATCCGCAAAGCGTTCACACGGATCGATCTTTACGACCGTCGATTCATTTACAATCCAACGGACGGCGTGTTTCCCGGATGAACTTTAAACCCAGGGCGTGAGATTTTTAACTTCCATAAATTCCCCAAAATCGCAACATTTCGGCAGCGAGATCATAATCTCTGATCRATCGAAGCGTTGTTTGTTCTCCAAATTCAGTCGATAAAATGTCTGGGCGTGGGAAGGGAGGCAAGGGATTGGGAAAGGGAGGAGCCAAGCGTCACAGGAAGGTTCTGAGAGATAACATTCAGGGCATTACGAAGCCTGCAATTCRTCGTCTCGCTCGTAGAGGTGGCGTGAAGCGTATCAGCGGGTTGATTTACGAAGAAACCAGAGGAGTTTTGAAGATTTTCCTCGAGAATGTTATCCGTGATGCTGTTACCTACACTGAGCACGCCAGGAGGAAGACGGTGACTGCCATGGATGTGGTTTATGCATTGAAAAGGCAGGGAAGGACTTTGTATGGTTTCGGAGGTTAGGTTTTAGGTTAATTTCACAAATGAATGTATATCTCGGCTCTGGCTTCCCAGCCATTGTTGTTCTTTTAGTTTACCTGGAAGTCGTTCACCGTTGTTCTGGCAATGAAATTTCTGTTCATTGTGTATTCATTCCTGGTTTTGCCTTTCGTTTTATTACCAGTATATCTTATAGCTACTCGGTTTTTTTGTTCTTACCCGTAATCGCTATAAAGAGGTCTGGCGGAACAGAGTTCCAACATCCTATTCAGTTGCTGAAATTCAATACGTTTTCATGTCTAAATCGATTATAAGAGAACTACACTATCATCTATAAGATTGTTTCTCACGCATCCATCATAATGTTTAAGGTCATGAAGCGTAAGCAAGAAACGGTATACCAGCCTCCTTAATGCGCTATGCTAATGTTATCCAGTTGGCTTGCAATCTCCTGGATTATTCGCATAAAATTGTTCGGAGAAATTTTATAACTTAGAAAWCTACATCAAGTATCTCTGCCTCTATGCTTGAGTTTTAATTGTTATTTATGTTCAACAAGTTTTAGAAATAAATGTTGAATATGAAACCCTAGTATAGTAGGTTAAACGAAGTAGGAATGCGTCCTTATGTATGAATTCGAGAATGCGATGGTATTGGTTACATGTTCCTCTTGCAAAAGATTAGCTAAATGATTACAGCACTAGACTTTCAATTTGATATTTCTGAGCTACTTTTGATAAACCCTCGAAGCAGGTGTAGCAACTAAGAGGATGGGTGATGAACATYACCTAAATCAGAGACCAATGAAATAGTATTATAGTGTATGCAATGGGAGAGACATCTAGTTTAGTGTAGCTCTTATACACAACACCTTTAGTTAATGTTCGTGGTTTGAGAATTCGATCTCAAAGATGCTGTTTTTCTTTTTAGTTTGGGGCGAAGATTTGAATCTTTAATCTTTTGGTTGATGACATGTGCCTTAATTAGTTGAGCGATGYTTAGCTCAAAATGTTTAATCCATAGGTTAAGCATAGATCCAAATGCTGAATCCACTTGTAGGTACGAATGCTGAATCCACTTGTAGGTACGAAGAGCTGTTGGTGAGAGAGAGAGAGAGAGATTAACCATAAAATTTGAGGTATGAAGTCTATGCGTCATTTTCTTTGGTGAGGTCTTCAGGCTGTGCAGGTTCTTTGTTATTGGGCATTTTAATGGATTCAAATGTGAACTCCTTCCTTCCAAGGTGTCAAAGGCGTGCAGGTATGTGCTATTAACTTCTCATTGATTTTTCGAGACCAGTTTTCAATAATTTTGACAAACTAGTAAGACAGCTTTCATACTATTGTCGAATCTTATCTCAAGTTCGTGACRTTATGTCCCTTAGCAAAATRATACAATTCAGGAGTAACTCCTGTGAATCCTCGGCCAAATTGATGCATACATCTAGCATAAACTTCTCTGCTTGTTCTGGTCCTGGAAGGGTGCTTTATATCTCAATTTGTTGGTCTCATCACTCATATTGTCTTATATCTGTGTTTTTTTGACATGTTTCTTGTCTTTTTTTGACATGTTTCTTGTCTATGGGCCTATGTCTCGATGTAGATCCTAACTCATTCTGTTGGGAAATTGGGATGTTGTACATATTGGACATGGTAAATATGGACAGGCTACCACAAGGCTTAGATCCGCACTTATTTCAAATTAATCCATCTGAAAAACCTGAATTCAACTGTGGAAGTAGAATGGAAACTGCTTTTTAAGTCTCATCTCTACTAATTTACTAACCTTACTCCTATGCTAGGATGTTTATGATCTGCATTCTCCTGTTGCTTTCGCCCAATATGAAGTTGGTAAGAAGTGGTGGGTCATATTTGCCTGTAGATAAGTGAATCAATGTGATTCCAGTTATCCCATGTTCAAGTTCCCAAGATGCATTGTTTCTTGGATGCTTTATATTTTTCCAGATGGCGATGAACATTCTAATGCTTTCACCACAGCCATTTCTTGCTCTATTGGTTGCAACATTGCGTTCTGATTAGACAGTACGGTGATGAACATTCTGATTCCCCTTTGAAAACTCTACTACAAATAAAGAGGTATTGAGATCAGATTAGATGGCACAAGGACTATACAAGTGTAATAATCTCTTCTGCGTTCTCAAACATTTCATGAATAACACAGATGAGGACTTTTATGAGCACTCCTTGCAGTAATGGAATTGTGTAGTAGATATGATTTTGAATARTGAAGGTTGAACCCCTAAAGTTAAAAGAATGCAAAAGATCCACTCCTTCGGAAAGGGAACTCATTCCCTCTRAGTCCTTTACTATTTACAAAGGCCTTCATTGATCACTTGAGCCATCCCATGATGGTTTCCTAATTTTCTATATTGAAAAATAATACAAACTTGAGAAATAGGTATTACAAATCAGAAGTATAAATTGAAAACCCATGTTTTCAATACTGCCATTTTCCTTCTCATTGTTGCATTTCTTGGATTCTAATCTAAATATGTGCTTTTCACTTTTCATTTTTCTAGTTTAGTCCGTATATATCTTACTTTTAATAATTATATTATCTTTATCAATTAGTATTTTCATTTCATTCAATTATGGAGTTTCATTTTTCCTTATTATGATCTAACTCTGTGTATTTCATTTATATATATATATATATATATATATTTCACTTTTAATAATTAAATAATTTTCGTAAATTATTCTTCTAACTTCATTAGATTATGGACTTTGAACCAAGAAAAGGACATTATATATGCATATTTGTATTAGATAAATTTTAGAAACTTTACTTTTCTATTAATTTGATTGATCCTTGTGTTAGATAGAATCATTTATGGTCAATGAGAACCAATCTAAATAGTAAAGGGTTTAGAGGGAATGAGTTCAAACCATGGTGACCACCTAAGTAAGATTTAATATCCTACAAGTTTAGGTGCAAATCCCTTTTTTTTTATTTTCAGGAAGGCCAAATTATTATTTTTTCCTTTCAATAAATTATGTAATTTAAWTCAGGTATACAACATTGAAGTAATGTAAAGTCAATTAAAATATATGCAGCATTACGAGAACAAAAGATAAAATTGATGAGGAAAACAACTAATATTTAATATTTAAAACACAATCCAAATTATATCAATTAAATTAAACCAATAATTTATATCGGTAATTTTCCCCTCAAAATTGGTGTAAATTGTAATTTATTTGGCCTCAATTGTACTTTTGGGCCACAAAATTTGGAATTTCGCGCTGCCCGGCTTCCCGGAATTTCCCCTGCCCGCCAAAACCTGACTGAAACTCACTTTCAAAGCTCGATCCACAGCGCTTTCACGCGGATCGATCTTTTCAACCGTCGATTCATTATAAATCCAACGGACTAAGTGATTCGCACCCGAAACTTCCGTACCATAAATACCCCAAACCAGTGCAGCAGAGCAACAAATCGACAATTTCCGATCAGTTCTAGCGCGAATTCTTCCCGAAAATCAAACGCGAAAATGTCTGGGCGTGGGAAGGGAGGCAAGGGCCTGGGAAAGGGAGGAGCCAAGCGTCACAGGAAGGTTTTGAGAGACAACATTCAGGGCATCACGAAGCCTGCAATTCGCCGTCTCGCTCGTAGAGGTGGTGTGAAGCGCATCAGTGGTTTGATCTATGAGGAAACCAGAGGCGTTTTGAAGATTTTCCTCGAGAATGTGATTCGCGATGCTGTTACCTACACGGAGCACGCCAGGAGGAAGACGGTGACCGCCATGGATGTGGTCTATGCGTTGAAGAGGCAGGGAAGAACTCTGTATGGATTCGGAGGTTAGGTTACAGCTTGATTTAACGAATCGTCGTACTGTATAGCTTGTCTCTTGTTTTCTACTCGTTTGGCAAGTTGTTTACCAATTGTTCTGGCAACGAGATTCTGGTTTATTGTCAAATTATAATATAAGGTTCTATTCCTTCTGTGGATTTGAAAATTGATTCTGTCGTCCAATTATCAAGTTCAAGAGTGCTCGGTTTTTGCTTTATAATTGATGAACATGTTTAATCAAGAAACGGAAGACCGCGTTCAAAATTTCGCCCTATTATCGATGAACTCAAGAATATAATTCCTAAACATGACTGTGACGAACCTTGCGAAACTATTGAATAAATTTGACGTCCTTGTGAAAGAACTTCAAAATTTGGAGAGGAGACGATCCTTGGTACGAAACAACCATTAAATTAACAGTTTGGTACTACAATGAGCAAGTAGTCGTCCTCTCACAGCAATTGATTATTATGATGTCAATTAGAATTATGAATATATTTGTCAATTCTTGCAATTTCCAATTCCAAAATATAAATGTCAATGAATCAAGCTTTCAAGTTTAGAACTGATAATGTGTAAAGATGCTTAATAGAATAATGTATAAGCACGGTTGATATTTGGGTGCCTCTTATTTATTACCATTAGAAAATTGATTTTCAAGCAGTGAATGCCTTATTGGATGGCTAAGAGAGAAAAGTCTACAAACAAGATGAGAAAATGTTTATTCCACACAAAAAAAAAAATGATAAATAAATTTTTACTGAAAAAGATATGTCAATTTATTCATGGGCATTTGGGCGAAATAGCCTTTTTCAAAGGTGTGGCATCTCTCCTCATTTGTATGTTTTGTAAATTTTGTGGAAATGATACGTATTTACTCTCTTGATTTTTTCTTCCATTTATTACTTTTTTCTCCTCTTTCTTCCCTATATCGTTACAAATTCTCTTTTTCTTGAAAAATTCAACAAACTTTCTCTATCTTATTTACTCACCATAAAAAAACCTTAAATATTTATTACTATCTTCCTCCTTATCACTCTTAAGTTGCCTCTTCTCATTTCCATTCTTTTTTCTTCACCCTTTTTGAAAAAACAAGCAACAAGCTACTCCATTTACCATTTTTTTCGATGAGAGACATACGTTGAGAGCGAGAGCAGGAGCGAGAGGGGCGAGAGAGCAAGAGCCTTTTTTTGTGTGTTCTGTTTTTTTCTTTTTTATTTGGGGGGTTTATGTCAACTCTTTTTCTTAGTGTTCTTTGTTGAGTTTTTACCTCTCTTTTATGTGTGATTGGTTTTTTGTGCATGCATTTGTTATTTTGTTTTTGAATTTTAAGCTCCAACAATGGAGTCAACATAGAGAGGAGATAAATGAAAAATAAAGAAGAGAGAGGAGAGAGAAAAATGCATGCCTTCAAAATCAAAACAAAAAAATCCAAAAGCAAAGGAAATCGAATGGGATGTGCTATAAAAATATTTATATATAACTTGATGTATACTTGTGTCATAGGATTTTTGGTAGGTTATTAGATATCCAAATTTACCAAACCTACCAGTGGTAGGTTTAGCTTTTGGATTGAAGATGAGTAAACGACTAATTAATCGAAAAGCTTAAGTTGGATAAATTTAATTCATATATTAGATATCTATTATACGTAAATGAATTCATTATTATAAAACTTGATACTATTTTTACAAATTTTATTGAGGTATTCTAGTAAGTGAGGTGGGGATTTGAACTTTTGGCCTTTGACTCGAGGATAATTATCTAAATTTGTTGGACTATGCTTTGATTGACCTACTAATTTGAATGCAAGTATTTGTACAAATTACCAACCATTACAACTTAAATGGTATTTTTCACATAGAATTTTGCAATATCTTTTGAAGTTTACAACATTATAAATACTTGATTTAATATCAATTTGAGTCTAGATGAATTGGTTAAGGTGTGTATTATTGATAAGAAAGCTGTGTGTCCGTCTATTTGAGCCTTACTTCCACGTGTTATTGTATGAAAAAAAGAGGCACTTAACTAATTAATAATTTTTAATGCACTTAAAATAACATTCAGAATACATTTTTCATAATATGTTTTGGTTCCTTTTCGGTACAATTGAGAGCTATAAAACACAGTTTAAATATTAATTCTAACAAAGGATAAAATTTATCTATCAATTTTAAATAAATCATAAATGATATTTTCTGTTGCTCTTCATCTCGAGTGATTTCAAATTCTAGTGGATTTAAAAATGTTATCATATGAAAGAAAACAATTTGAAATATTCGTGTTTTTAACCAAAAAAAGGAAAAAAAATCACCAAACACAATTGGATATTGTATAATTTGATTTCAAATTCTACTGGATTTTAAATGTTACCCTATGGAAGAAAACAATTTGAAACATAAGGTTTTTATCCAAAAAAAAAAAAAAAAAACTACCGCAATTGGATATCCTATAATTTTATAGAATTTTATCATAAATTACTTATTTAACGTTTTCATATATTCTACTTTCAATTAACAAATTCAAATTACAAAATTTCTTCTAGTAAAATTTATCTTTTATTTTTATTTCCGACAATTATTTAAACAAATAAGTTTAGTGACGTGCCTTCCCGATCATTTTGGATCCAAAACGAGATAAAAAAAATTAAGAGTCATTTATTAAATTTAAATGTTCACAATACACTTTAAAAAAAAAAAAAATCTCACTATAATTTCATACAGCTGTCGGTTAGGTGTGGTGATTGGGCTTTTTACGATAATTTTGGGCCTTCCCGCTGCCCGGATTCAGGAATTTCACCATGCCCGCCAAAAATGAAACACAAATCCACTTTTCCAAAGCACAATCCGCAGAGATTTCACGCGGATCGACCTTTAGAACCGTCGATTTTCAAAAGATCCAACGGACTCTGTAATTCCCAGCTGAATTTGCACCTCCATAAATTCCCCAATTCGCTACGTTTGTTCGCAGCATAATCAGAACCTTCTGATCGGAACAAGCGCGGTTTATCCCCAAAATCAGTGCAAGAAAATGTCCGGCCGTKGAAAGGGAGGCAAGGGTTTGGGAAAGGGAGGAGCGAAGCGTCACCGGAAGGTTTTGAGAGACAACATTCAGGGCATTACGAAGCCTGCAATTCGCCGTCTCGCCCGTAGAAGTTGAAGCATTGAGTTTCGAACTCGATGAAGCTCATTCAGTCTCGTCGATCGCTGAGAACTCCTAATCTAGGCAGAAGGAGATTCAAGAAGTATTGTACATGGCGGAGGAACCTCGAAGAGGACTGTGAAAATGATTCGCAGTTCATTTACGCACTCGAACAAATTGTGCGAGGAAAGCAAAGCTGGAAGATCGCCTTCRACAACGCATTCATTTCAGGGACTTTAAAGCCCCATCACGTAGAAAATGTTTTGATTCGAACTCTCGATGACTCCAGGTTGGCCTTGAGATTCTTCAATTTCTTGGGATTGCATAGGAATTTCCATCACTCCACTGCCTCATTTTGTATTTTAATTCATTCTTTGGTTCAGAGTAGTCTGTTTTGGCCTGCCTCTTCGCTTTTGCAAACCCTTTTGCTCCGTGGGCTAAACCCACTGGAGATTTTTTCGAATTTTTTGGAATCTTATAGGAAGTACAAATTTTCTTCTAGTTCGGGTTTTGATATGTTGATTCAGTATTACGTGCAAAACAAGAGGGMAATGGATGGTGTTCTGGTTATAAATCTCATGAGRGACCATGGGATTTGGCCTGAAGTTAGGACTTTAAGTGCTCTGTTAAATGCTCTTGCGAGAATYAGGAAGTTCCGCCAGGTCTTGGAACTCTTTGATACCCTTGTGAATGCGGGTGTTAAGCCTGATAGTTATATTTACACGGTGGCGGTTCGATGCTTGTGTGAATTGAAGKACTTTAGCAAGGCCAAGGAAGTAATCAATCAGGCCGAGTGCAATGGATGTGGTTTGAATATTGTAACTTATAATGTGTTTATCCACGGGCTCTGCAAGAGCAAGAGAGTTTGCGAGGCTATTGAGATCAAGAGATTGCTAGGTGAAAAGGGTTTGAAAGCCGATTTGGTTACATATTGCACATTGGTACTCGGATTGTGCAGAATACAGGAATTCGAGATTGGTATGGAGGTGATGGATGAAATGATTGTGTTGGGTTTTGCTCCGAGTGAAGCTGCTGTTTCAGGAGTCATAGAGGGGTTGAGGAGAATGGGGAATATCCAATGTGCTTTTGAGTTGCTAAAAAAGGTTGGGAAACTTGGAGTAGTGCCTAATCTATTTGTTTATAATTCAGTGATCAATTCATTGTGCAAAAGTGGAAAATTGGAAGAAGCTGAGTCGCTTTTCAGTGTAATGACTGAAAGGGGTTTGTTTCCAAATGATGTCACATATAGCATCTTGATAGAGGGGTTTGGAAGAAGGGCCGAATTGGATGTTGCTATCAATTTCTTCAATAAAATGGTTGAATCTGGCATAAGTGCAACTGTGTATTCCTATAATTCTTTGATAAGTGGTCAATGCAAGTTTGGGGACATGAGAACAGCAGAGTTTTTCTTCAAGGAGATGGTTGACAGAGGATTGATACCAACTGTGGCAACTTATACTTCATTGATAAGTGGATATTGCAGAGAAGGATTAGTACCCAAGGCATTCAGGATATATCATGAAATGACTGGAAAAGGCATTGCCCCAAATACTTTTACATTCACTGCTCTTATTTGTGGTCTTTGTCATATCAATAAAATGGCTGAAGCCAGTAAATTATTTGATGAAATGGTTGAACTCAACATTCTTCCAAATGAGGTGACCTATAATGTTTTGATAGAGGGCCACTGTAGGGAAGGTAACACTACAAGAGCTTTTGAATTGCTGGATGAAATGATTAAGAAGGGCCTATTACCAGACACATACACCTACAGGCCCCTAATTGCTGGTCTTTGTTCTACAGGTAGAGTTTCTGAAGCAAAGGAGTTCGTAAACGACCTTCACCACGAGCATCAAAAGTTGAATGAGTTGTGCTATACTGCACTTCTGCAAGGTTTTTGCAAGGAAGGAAGAATTAAGGAAGCGTTAATTGCTCGCCAGGAGATGGTAGGACGTGGATTACGCATGGATCTAATAAGTTATGCTGTGCTTATATATGGAGCTTTGAAGAAAAATGATGGAAGGTTGTTTGATCTTCTGAGGGAAATGCATAGTCAAGGAATGAAACCCGACAGTGTAATATACACCACTTTGATTGATGGGTACATCAAAGCAGGAAATCTCAGAAAGGCGTTTGGATTTTGGGACATTATGACTGGTGAAGGATGCATTCCCAACACTGTGACATACACAACGTTGGTGAATGGATTATTCAAGGCAGGATATGTCAGCAAGGCCAAACAACTTTTAAAGCGTATGCTAGTCGGTGAGGCCTTTCCCAATCACATAACTTATGGTTGTTTTCTGGATCACCTCACAAAAGAAGGAAATATGGAGAAAGCTCTGCAACTTCACGATACAATGCTAATAGAAACTTTAGCAAATCCTGTCACATATAATATACTAATCCGGGGTTATTGCCAGATGGGAAAATTTCAGGAGGCAGCCAAGCTTCTTGATGGAATGATTGGAAACGGTATCGTTCCAGATTGTATCACTTACTCCACATTTATCTATGAATACTGTAGGAGGGGTAATGTTGATGCAGCTATTAAGATGTGGGAGCGTATGTTTAATAGGGGCCTGAAACCTGATACAGTAGCATTTAACTTTCTAATATATGCCTGCTGTCTTACTGGTGAACTAAACCGGGCTCTGCAATTGCGCGACGAAATGACGTTGAGGGGTTTAAAACCGACTCGATCAACATATTATTCCCTGATTCATGGGACTTGCTTAACGAGCTAGGTGATAATACTTGATGAAAAACAAAATGCTATACGACATTGAATAGTGAGGTTGATACTAGCTTCCATTGACAATATAGTTCGGAAGTAGCAACTCCTATCGGTTCAAAGAAAAGTTTTTTGGATTTCGGAATTGGAAGACCAAGATATCTATTTCTGGTTCATGGAGTTACTAGGGAAGGGGACCCCGATACTACATTTTTTTGCATTTTTTAAATTCAACAAATGTAGGGTGGGTGATTGAACCTTCAACCTCGAGAAAGGAAATATGAGTTGCATTATGTAGTGAGCTATTTTCAGATGATAGGCAAGACCCAGACATTGTAAATTATTGGTTCTACCTGTAAATAGGAGCACTACTGGAAGATGATGAGCAAAATAAAGCTTACATTTACTTTTATTTTGACTCTTTGTTTTCCACTGGCAGAACTCGATCACTATTCTCATTCCCCTTCCCTCGGGGTATTTGTGACATTAGATCCATCTCTTTCGATTCAGAATGATGACATGCTCGTAACAATCTAGCCTTGGCTTGGTATCTTCCTTTTCCATTTTAGTATACCAAGATGAGACCGAGAGGTCATGAATTCAAATCGCCCCACTCCTACTTTTTGTACTAATAAAAAACGTGTTAAGTGATTTTTCCATAAGCATTTGGTATAAAGTACGAGGKGCTACTGATTGATAATAGCGGTTTGGATTATACAATTATTAGCTGTGGAGTGGAAATGAATATATATATGGAAACATTATCAAGGCCAAGGAATTAGTGTGAAGGCTAATGGCTGTTGCTGATTTTCAAATTTCAGTACTTCTCATTTTCGCATCAATATTGTTCAAAGCATTTGATTTGTAAGTCTGATATTTCCTCTAATAACTTTTTTGGGGAAAAAGTTCAATTTATGTTAATTTTATTCTTGAAACTTTSAATCTATATTTGAAAAATTGTTGTAATTTGAAAATCCATCATTGAAATATTCAAAGCTAGTCGCAAATAGATAACATTACAACATTCAAAACTTAAATTCTCAAATCCAAAATCCAACCAAAAATGATCGCATCCAACTAAAAAAACTCTTATCTTTCTGCAGAATGAAAATTTAGTTGATTAAAAGTTTAATTGTATTTTCCTTAAATGGATTGAAAGTTAGAATTTACTCACCTATCTGATTAAATCATTTCTTAGTACAACAAGATTTAAATTAACGATTATGTTGGGATAAATGCCTTAACTAATTGCATGATTGACATTTAGTTAGAACTTTTTCACTTATTTTTTTCATTGAAAGATAAAAAATTTATAACCATCTACAATCACGGTTCTAAATATCCGTCGACTTGTTGACATTTCCATTGACATATCTACGACATTTTTATTCTAGTATAAAAAAACTGATAATATATGAAAAATATTAACAAAATGTCACTAGTATATACATAATATTARTATTAATTATTCTTAACTAATTTAGATTGTTAATTTAAATATTTTATATGATTTTTTAATTTTTATAACTTTTATAGAAATATCCATCGACATCAACATTTTATCGATTTTTCCATGAAATAAAGACATTTCCATCGACAACGATATTTAAAACCTCGTCCACAATAGCCACGAGTATAAAAATAAAATATTATAACTAAATTACAATCACAAATTAACTAAAAAAATTTCGCGCTTGTGGAAGTTTCCCTTCCYGGCATTAGAAATTTCACCTCTACATTATACCCGCGAAATAAATCCAAATCCGCGGAAGCCTCACGCGGATCGACCCTTTGGACCGTAGATCAACAGAAGATCCAACGAACCACATAATTCCGCGCTCAACGTGCGCTGGTATAAATTCTCCCAACCAGTTCAATCTCGAGTTCAACTCAGCGCCAATTTCAAATCTCCGTTCAATAAACTTCTTCTTCCAAAAATGTCTGGGCGCGGAAAGGGAGGCAAAGGCTTGGGAAAGGGAGGAGCAAAGCGCCACAGGAAGGTTCTGAGGGACAACATTCAGGGCATCACGAAGCCTGCGATCCGCCGTCTCGCTCGTAGAGGCGGTGTGAAGAGAATCAGCGGTTTGATCTACGAGGAAACCAGAGGAGTTCTGAAGATTTTCCTCGAGAATGTGATCCGCGACGCTGTAACCTACACGGAGCACGCCAGGAGGAAGACGGTGACCGCCATGGATGTGGTCTATGCGCTGAAGAGGCAGGGAAGGACTCTGTACGGTTTCGGAGGTTAGGTTGTAGATGCTGATTACATGATCGATTATAGATCTTGGATGTAGATCTGGTTTCTTGATTTGCAGTAGGCTGTAATCGGTTTTTCAAGGAAATGGAATGCTACTTCTGTTCAAGAATTATTCTGCACTGTATGTTCGTTCCTCTTTTTCTTATGAATCATTTTGAAGACCTTTCACTTAATTTCATCACTCTCCATAAATTGTACAAGGAAATGAAGATTACCTTATAAACACTCAAAACTTATACGCCGTGAAATGGGAAAATTCCTGTCTAATGTTTTTAAGAGAATCGCGAGTAAGTTGTTCCTTCTGTCTAAGATTTTGGACCAATGGGCCTAGCCCAAGCCCACTTCGAGGCTCAATTTATGAAAATTTATATAAGCTTAGAGACCGTTGCCAACGAAGGTGTCGTGGTGTAGTTGGTTATCACGTCAGTCTAACACACCGAAGGTCTCCGGTTCGAATCCAGGCGACGCCATGGTTAATTTTATTTCTTTTTACTTCTTTTAATTACAATATATTATGTGTGTAAAATAAATTATTATTTATTTAATTTTCCAAGGTGGTTTTGCCAAACTGAAGAAGACTGAAAGGAAACTGATAATCAAATGGAAAATTAAATTAATTATTAGTTTAATTYGCTGGAGTTGAAGCATCCTCAAGAGCTAATATTTATATGTCGGCTTCCTTTATTTCAGATGCGAGTAGTTTGAGTGTGTAAATTTGATCATTAGATATCAAATATATGAATTAAATTTATCTAATCCATTAGTTTAAGCTTTTGAGTTGAGTGGTAGTTTATTCATCCGTAACATGGTATCAGAGTAGGAAGTTTCTGTGTTTGAACCCCTGCATTGTTGTTTCTTCCCCATTTAATACTTATTCCAACATGTATTGGATGTCTTTGATCAATGCTATCATTTAAAAGAGACAAGCTGCGTCATCACATCTAATCTTAAACATATTATTTTACCTTTCCACATCAACAGTGACAYTAACAGAAATTTGACACTGAAACATTTTATTTCATAACCATTTTTTAAAGTTAGAAGACCAAACTATCAATTTTCTAGACTTAGAAATTAATTAAAAACTTATCTTCAAATTCAATAACCTAAAGTGTATTTTATCCTTTAATTTATTAATCAAATCAAACCATGGATAGAGTAGATTAATCTAATTTATTGAAAATTGAAGATTTAATCTACTCTAAGGCTGAAAATTGAAGAGACTAATTTATAGAAAATTTCATCCTTTCAAAAAGGAAATCTTAAATTCAATAGTTTACAAATCATTGCATGCGGAAAAGAACATAGTCAAATTCCAACTCAAATAATAAGTTAATAAAATTGAAATCTATACTATAACGCTTAATAAAAACACATCAAATTTATACCATCCGGAAAAATCTCTATTAAAAACATAAGCAACTTTAAATTGACCAGAATACCAAAATTATGGCAGCGCCTTCGACTTAGATAAACAAATACCAAACACATGGAACAAGCTCAAGATAGAGGCAATTCTTGTCATTTAATCGAAGAGGAAAAAAAAAAGGACAAAATAAAACACAATTACAGCAAGCCACTTACGGTATGGGCCAGCTCAGCTTGACACACTCAAGGTCTCCGGTTCAAGTCCGGGCTACGCCAATTGTTAATTTGTTATTATCTTCTTTTAATTACATGGATATTATATGTGTAAAATAAATTATTATTTATTTAATTTTCCATGGTGGTTCGGCCAAACTAAAGAAGGTTAAAATTAAACTAATTATTAGTTTAATTAGCTGCCAACTGTCAGTGAAGGTGGCCAGAGAATACTAGCGTCTACAGAACTTGAGAGAAATTGTAGTAACAAAGTTTAGTATCAGTGGAATCACTATATGTATAAGGTAGGTGCTCTTACTCCAACAGAGGGCCAAGGGACTTGGTTGCAGTCTTTTGATGGTTGCCCACGTTAGAAGGCATGAGTACAGATAGAGAATTTGGGGGAAATTGGACAAAATTTGGTGCGTAAATTGGAGGAGAGAATTGAGGAAGAAGAATAAATTGATTTGTAGAGAGAAAATGGGTGGGTGCAGAAGACAAACCGCGAAGCAAAATAAAACAACTTTGAGTGATGTCGAGGAAGGATGACAATATTCAAAAATAACGTAAAACTTACTGTTACGCACACTAGAAAGAAACACAAGGTAAAAATAGCAGCTCTTCTTAGTTCCATGGCTTTTTATTAACCTTATATTAAAGTGTTATTCGTAACATAAATGCGTTCACAACATGAATACAAAATTTCAGAGTGAAAATTTTGATTAATTTAATTAAACCAAGGGTATAGGTGACATTCTGACATTTAATTTACTCTAAAGCTTAAATTGACGAGAAAAAACTCATCCTTTCAAATAGGAAAGCTTACATTCAGTAATACACAAACCATAGCATACGGGAAAGATATGGCAGGCATGTGCATAAAGTATACTTCCAAATATTGCAAGTTCAATTTTTTTTTCAAAAAGAACATAGTCAAATTCCAACTCATATAACGCAATAACAAGAGTTAAAATTCATACTGTAACATCTAGTAAAAACCTAAGAACATATAACAAATACCAAAATTGGGACAGCGCGATCAACCTAGATACATTAATACCAAACGCATAGAACAAGCTAAAGATAAGGGCAATTCGCAATTCTTGCTGCTTAATCGAAGAGCAAAAAAGAAAAAGGAAAAGATAAAATCAAACACACAGACAGCCACTTACGGCATCGCTGAATGTGTTCTAGAATCCAATAACATTACACCACTATACATACCTTCATCATCTATAACTAACACATGGGAACACAATCCACAGGCAGGTTTAAAACATATTCAAACACATGCAGAAAATGCGTATTTAAATAAATTCCTGCGAGGCCAAGTTTTTCCCGCTCGTTGATCAGCCAAGACCGCATGATGCAATCCATCATGTGCTAGCAGAACTCGAGCAGATATCGAAAAACTTGACCAGTCCAGTCCTCACCAGTGATGGTATGGTACCTCATAAATATGCCCGCCGCCCCCATGTTTGCGGCAAATTGCTCTGCGGATTTTTCCACAAGAACAGCAGTAGAATACCACCACGTTGCACATGTTTGATCAACAATTACTTTTAAAACAAGAATATCACCTGTAACCAGGCATTTTTACCATAAAACGCAGGCAGAGATGAGGATTCCGTAAGACCAAAAGGCAACAAATTCAGCTTGGTAGTTTCTTAAAATAATTCGACCAAGTCGGATCCCATAGCTATCAAGACTATTTGTCTTTTAGCACGTTAGCCAACCCTTGAAATGTTCAACACTTCATGGTTAAATATTCGTTTTTAATCGAGTCGAAGTTCCCTGAGAAAACATTAAAAGAGAAATAACGAATTTGTTAGAAATTATTAGAAAAGAATTCAGAAATCGACTGTACAGAAATGAAGATGCCTTACCTCAATTGGGAACAGCAACTCATTTGTTGTATAATTTGCAGCGGTGGGTGGCATTTTATTCCAACCAATGTCATCCTTGCAGATGTGATCGGGAGGCAAAAGGGTAATAGATCCACTTCGATTCCCAACTCATTAAATGAAACAGAAAGGACTTAGTGAATGAAAGCAGAGTACACACTGACTTCTGTTCGTCAATTACATTACCATGCTGAAGTCATATGAAAGCTAAACAACAAAAGCCCAAAAAGTTGTAAAGAAATTCAAACCAATTCTAAGGAACACTATAGCCCATTTCTGCGAAGGTAAGACAATGGTAGCGATACAGCAAACAGATGGGGGGTGGCTGCATCAAAGCATATAAGCATCCACTAATTTATTTGCATAGATTCGGCATGATACTTCTCTAAGTCCGCATCAAGATCTTCGGCAGAAACTTTTTCACTGGGACCTCTTCCTCTCCCACGCCCTCTTCCAAAACCACGACCTCCTCCGCCTCCGCCACGTTGACGTGATGGCAGACCACCCCTACCTTGCTGCCTGTTCCACGTCAAAAACAATGTTCATACGATATACAATGCCATAGCCAATGGTACTGCTAATTATAAAATGAATGCCACCAGAATCAAGCAAACACAGCTGAAAATAAAAAAGAACCAGAATAAAGTTTATAAATATATACAAGTGCATAATGAGCCTAGAGGCAGATTTCAAGACTAGAAATACAATAGCATATTACAACCTAAAATGTACTAGATACATTAAGTAGCAGCCATGGGCAGGCTGCAGTGGAGATTCTTAAAAACAGAACAAAAGCTCGTGAATACAAGGAAAATATTAATAGTTATAGGAACAAAGGCTTTATAGAAACTAAAAACAGCAAATATTAATAGTTATAAAAGCAGAACAAAAGCTCGTGAATACAAGGAAAATATTAATAGTTATATCAACAAAGGCTTTATAGAAACTAAAAACAGCAAATATCACATGACATACGAACACAACTTGCGATTCATAATAAGTTTTGGAACATTGTGTTAGTGCTTGCAGCCAATTATATTCATCAAGCAGATCACTCATGCCCTATTTTCTGCCACTTAGAATAAGATCCAGTACCTTCTAGGAAACCCGTTTAAATTTTCGAAGGGGGCTACAGCGGCAGTAGGAACAGCAGCAGGGGTCGCAATATTAGTTCCAACAATCTCTATCTTCATTGGTTTTCCATCAAGCTGCACGTTGTTGTACTTCTTGACAGCCGCAACAGCATCTACTCGTCGTGAGAAAACTACTTCTGCCGTTCCCTATGGAAAAGAGGACTTCTAAACTTCGACCAATATAATGAATTCACAAGAACCAGTATTATGCCAGGCTTCGTAGGATACCTTGGATCTTCCACTCTTATCATAATGGATTGAGTAGTGTTTCATATCACCAACTTCTGAAAAAAGTTCCTGTAAGCACCACCACTTTCAGTAGGCAAAAAGAAACTATCTATCTCTCCTCTCTTTTTATTCATTCACAAGAGTAATAAATACCTTGATATCTTCATTGGAAACGCCGTAATCCAAATTAGATATGTAAAGCTTAGTCCCAGTCTGAATGGCAGAGGCTCGCCCCGCTTGCACAGCGAATCCAGAAGTCTGATCGATAAACATATCATGCTGCCAAGCCGTTTCCGGTGCCTATCGCAAGATTCACAAATCAAAACAAAAATTAAAAAAAATTCGAAAGGGAAAAGAGGAGATACAGCGACCTAGAACTCGAAGCCATACCTTGGGTGCGGCATAAGGCGTGCGATTAGCGGCACGATTGGGAAATCGGCGGACGGGACCGGGTCCGGAAGGTCGGCCGCGACCACCTCTGGAATTTCCGGATCTGGATTTTTTGTTGTTCTTTATGATATCGTCGAGGCTCATATCCAGAGGAGCAGCCATGTTCGAAGAGAAATCGAGAAGAAACAGTGAAGCAGTCGAAAGAGAAGACTGAGAAAATAGGAAATTAGGGTTTCGCTGTTCCGTCGGAAGAGAAGGGTTTGGGAGAGAATAAGGCGATACCTGAAGATTTTTTATTTGTTGATATTGATATGAAGACTTAATATAATCGGGTCGGATCGGGTCGGGTCATGGTTTGTACGCGTTTTTGCCCGCTACGACGCCGTAATGCTCACGTCTCTTATACAACTTTTCAATTTTTGATCAAATGAAATTTTTATTAAATGTGCAAATTTTAAAAACCCTAAAACAGATATTGCGCATAAGTTTTTTCTTAAAAGGAAAAAAAATCATTTTAACATTTGTCGTGAATTAACTATGMCTTGTAAATATTCTTTCTTTACTTGAATTGGTGGGGAGTAGAGTTTTGAATCTCCGACTTCAATATCTAACCACTCAACTACTCATATTACTTAATTAATTTCTTTTAAACAAGTTTCATTATTAGTTACACCTATTATTGGACAAATTAATATATTAAGAAGCTATAAGTTCAAATATATATAATATAAATTTACGGGTTCTCATTGACTTTTTCTTCTTTTTGGTTTTTAGAGTCTTGTTGACATTTAGTCTATCATTATTTACTTGGAATTTTATAATCTTTTAAGTATTTAGTTAGGAATTAGATAAAGATACTTAAATTAAGGTTAAAAAATACATTTGGTCATTTTATTAAAGTAACAATTTTGTCCTTAAATTTTAATTTATAACGATTTAGTCCCTATACTTTCACTAAGGTAACAATTTAGTCCTTGAACTTTAATTTATACGATTTAGTCTCTGTAGTTTAAAATTTATAACAATTTAGTCCATATGGTAAAAAAATTACTAAAATGAAGTGTCAAGTTTTATCATATAACAATTTAATCTTTCTAGTTATAACCATATTTGGTCCCTCTAATTTATCTATCTATATATATAAAAAACTTAACCAAAAAAACTACAATAAAAACTAAATCATTACCCATTTAAATTATAAGAATTAAATTAATTATATATTAAATTCAAAAACTAAATTGTTACCAATCTAAAAAGTACAGGTGTTACAAATCAAAATTTAGGAACTAAATTATTACTTTAACCAAAGTACGAAAYCAAAAGTATTTTTTAACCTAAATTAAAGATGTGACAACGAAATAAAGCCTATCTAGAAAATGTAGATATTTTTATAATATCTGAAACTTTTTGATTTAAAAGGAAAAATAAAATTGTGCAATACGCGATGCAAGCCCAAAGAGGCGGAGGACCATTACGTTTCAATTGGGCTGACCAGCTAACAGTGGGTCCCATTTCAATGGGCCAATGCAGATTCTCTCAAGGCCCATGAAAATTTTCTGATCTTCTGTGAGAAGATCATCTCCCCAACTCTCGTCAGGAAAAACGAACCCAATGATGAAACATCGTCAACTTAAATTACAAATGAAACAACAAGTTCTGAATGATTTACACAAGTTAACTTCGATCGAATCGAGAGTTCTCGGCGTTCTCCAACAATCCAAAGGATCGAACGAAGCAAACCGAAACGCCGACGCCGAGAGCAGCGAATACGGTAGGGACGAAGAAATCCAAACTGGAGCGGGTCACCATTTTCGCCGGCAAGCACAGAACATCTCCRGGGAGGTCCAGCGGGATCCTGATGTAGCCGTCTCGGCGGCAGGATTTGGAGAACGACGACGAAAGCGACGTCGCATTGGTGAATATGAACTCCGGAGCGAACGAGGCCACGGCTGCAGTTAGCGTCAGGAGCGCCGTCCACTTGGCGGCGGTGAGACAATGCGGCGGATAGAGAGAGAATCGGAGGAAGGAGATGGCCATGAGAGAAGGAACGATGCGGATGAACGTGGCCATGGGAATTTATTAAACGGAGAAAGAGGGAAAATGGGTGCACGTCTAACTAACTGCCACTCGGCGATCTCAATCTATGATTCATTATCAGGTTGCCACGTCTTTCTCTTTCAGCGAAGCTTCCAAGTTTCTGCAATGGAGATATGATGAACAATTTTGAGGTCTCCCATGGCTTCTCCATCCACACACAGACTCCATTAGATTTTTCAGCTGCAGCAATAATGGGGGACGAATTTCCTTGATTCTCTGTTTCTGAACTAGTATTTTATATAAAATGTTTTATTTTGAATGTAAGGGAAGAAATGAAGCATGTTTGTATACATAAACAATAATAAGAAACAGAAAATCTGGAACAAGGAGCTAAAGGAAATATGGGTATATATATTCAGAAATAGATTCGCAAAGAGAAAATACATCTTAGTAAGAGATCATTGTGAAAGAATATTAAGAGAAAATAACTTTCTGGTTGCATTCGAATGAAACAAACGTAGGATTGATTGCTTCTCAAAACTTCTAATAACCCAAGAACGTGTAAATACATTTCCACAGTACTGACTTAAAGAAATGCTAATCAAAAACTAAATATTGAGATCAAGTTCTTTAAAAGTACCTTATCTTAGTATGAAGTCATGGAATCTCTTGATGGTATGAATAAACAGATAGAAAGTCACATAGTATTCAAACATTGAATTGATTAGATAATATCATTCTTATAGAGTTGAATAAATAGTTAAACATGGTAGAGGGTTAATTCAATAGCAATGGTTTTTTACTCTTTCAAAGAATCAAATAACAAGGAAGAAAAGAATCTCTTATCCAAAAAAAAAAAAAAACCAAGGAAGAAAATCATCTCACCGAAAAAGTCTTTAACAGAGTGGATTTTCTTCAATTGTAGCTGCAGCAGGTAAAAGGCAGGAGCATCAATGGTAGGCTACGACATGGAATTCAAGGCTGTAGCCCAGTTCATGTGAGATCCTCAAGAAATGAGGAACAAAAGTAAACTGCTTACAAAATCAAGTCAAATTTTAGACCATGCTTAGAAATGGCTAACAATTACAAATCAATATCCAAATCAAGGTCATGGATCCAATATTCATACATAGATGAGAAATAAATTCAATAAAATTTATTCTTCCGCACAATAGAATCGGCATTTCTGCGAGGAAGAACACAACAGACATACACAATGAGCACCACTGAAATCAATCCAAATAAGAACGTAACTACTATATGCTGTAAGCCTGTAACAGATAAACAATTCGACAGAAACATAAGTGAACGAAATTTCATCCATTAGTGGCACATAAAAGAAGCATTTACAAATCATAAGCATCTATATATGGAGAGAAATTGACAAATCCAAAGTAAAACAAATACAACAACATCGTAATAAGTAACAAACAGAGCTTCTCCTAACCCTAATTTCATTTCAGCTTGTTTCCCCTAAAATAACCTATCAGAAAACCCTAACTTCACCAAAGAGGGGATTTAAGAACTTGTGAACTTAGTAACCGCCTTCGTGCCCTCGGATACAGCGTGCTTGGCCAACTCACCGGGAAGAACAAGCCTGACGGCGGTCTGGATCTCCCTGGAAGTTATTGTGGGCTTCTTGTTGTAGCGAGCCAACTTAGATGACTCCTGAGCCAGCTTCTCGAAGATGTCGTTGATGAAGCTGTTCATGATTCCCATGGCCTTGCTGGAAATTCCGATGTCCGGATGGACTTGCTTCAGCACCTTGAAGATGTAGATCTTGTACGTCTCTACACTCTTCTTCGTCCTCTTCTTCTTCTTGTCTCCGGCAGAGGCGCCGCCTTCCTTCGGCAGCTTCTTCCCAGCCTTCGGCTTCTTCTCCGCCGGGGCCTTTTCGGCAACGGTCTTCTTCTCCTCCGCCGCCTTGTCGGAGGCCGGCTTCTTCTCGGCGGGTTTCTTCTCTGCCTTCGGTGCCATAGGAAATTGCTTTGCAAGCTAGCGGAAGGAGAGTCGGTTGGAAATTCGACGATCGGAATCGATAAGAATCGCTGCAGCTTGAAGACAAACGTTGATGGCTCTCTCATCTGGGTTAATATCTTTATATTTGGTGTAGGTGAGTTCTGATTGGCTGCTACTTGGAGCCGCAGATTGCTGATATGGCTGGCTAATCTGCGTTGGTTCAAATTTGAGTTTGGTAGATAATCAACGGCGGAGAGCTGTCTCCATGTTAAGTCTGGATTCCACGTGGGATCCTTCCATTGGTTGCTCTGAATGTTGCCGGATGGATGACCTGTCACTAAAATTACCGGCTTTCGTGTAAATGTCTCTCGATATCATTTTTATTGCAGATTAGGATCAAATTAAGCTTCCTTTTGTATTTAATTTTCCATATTTGAAAGATAGGATTGTTTGGTCACAACTTAACAAATTTCATGTTAAATTACAACTTTGTTCACTAAATTTAATAGTGGGCTCGTCTGATGTATTTTTTGTTGCTTCTTCTTCCTTTTATATATTTTCGTCCGCATGGCTTGGAAGGTTCTAAATTTACGATTTCGATTTTGTATTTCATCAGATTTACGGCCATCACTTGGTTTTCTCCATCTATCCTCTCTTGCACCCCACTGCTCTCTAATCTTCCACCTCCGTCCTTCTTCCAACCATTGTTTTTAATTTTTTTTCAAATCCTTGTTTTCAATTTACTTTATTTTGATTCAATTTTAGCTCAAATATTAATTGGACATTACCATATTTTGATTCATTCTTCCAATGTTATTTACAGAGTTCTTACCAAAATAATATAAAATAGTATTTATAATAGTAATGATAACTCATCGTGATTGCTAACCTTTTTTTTTATAAAAGAAACACGAATGAAACTTCAGGAAGTTCCCAATGAAGAAGGTTTAACAACCACGATGGCATCTCTCCCTCCTCCCACGCTTCCACTAGACAAAATCTTCTCCATCTCTGACTCTTTTCGCAAGCTCATGAGCCACCAATTCAAATATCTCGATCATCGACACAACATTTACATTCAAAACCAACTGAACGCCTTCTTCAATAACTCATTCTCTCTAAGGTCAGATTCTTTGCCATTAAAAAGATTTATGACTTAAAGGCAATCAGATTCCACATAAATCGATAAATTTCCTTCTTCTTCCATTGTTATCATTCTTAATCCTTCGCAAATAGCCATGGCTTCAAGAATTTTGATCTCTTGTTGCAGAACTATCGGACGACTTCCTGCCAACCTTCATACACTTTTGAAAAAGTACATGCAATCACATTCAAGTGGTTAATACACTTACTACAACTTTTAAATACTCATAAAAAAAACATATTAAAAAATTGAACTTGTAATTCAACCAAAATCTCAAATTTAAACATAATTTCGAAGTTATAAAATTATTCATTTCAATTGTAGATATTAGAGCAAAATGTGATTGGATTTTGAGATATGCAGAGAATTTTCCAACAAGTAGGGCAGATTTTGGGGGTGAAGGAAGAAGAGGAAGTTTGGGAGGTGTACCTCGTTTGACGCATTGGCAGCCTCCTTCGTTGAAAACTTGCCTCCTTTTTTTCACGAAACATTGACAAACGAACAAAAATTTTCACCTCTTTTCAAGCAAAATGTTCCGGATAAAATGGTGTAATCACTGTCACAAATTACAGAACAAAATTTTTGATGATCGCACAGAAACCAACTCGTAACTCAGTCAGCAAGATCCAGTTTAGGGGTTCGGAGATTAGAGGTAAAAAATGGTGTTTCAGAAATGCGATTCAAAGCAAAATCTAGAGGAGCAAACATGGAGGTCGACGGAGAGGGATAAAAATTACTTTCATTACCGACATCGATATAGGATCGGAATTTACAAATCATACCAATCTATGAGGATAAATCCACAAAATCAAATCAAAACCTAATCACTAATACATCAAGAGACAAACACAATCCATAGCCCTAATTTTTCAGTTTTCAATTCATTCGCCAAAAACGGAGAAATCGGAAAGCCTCGCTTGACCTAGCAGAGGGCTTAGGAACTCGTGAACTTCGTCACTGCCTTTGTACCTTCTGAAACGGCGTGCTTGGCCAATTCGCCAGGAAGAACAAGCCTAACGGCGGTCTGGATCTCCCTGGAAGTTATGGTGGGCTTCTTGTTGTATCGAGCCAACTTGGATGACTCCTGAGCCAGCTTCTCGAAGATGTCGTTGATGAAGCTGTTCATGATTCCCATGGCCTTGCTGGAAATTCCGATGTCCGGATGGACTTGCTTCAGCACCTTGAAGATGTAGATCTTGTACGTCTCTACGCTCTTCTTCGTCCTCTTCTTCTTCTTGTCTCCGGCAGAGGCGCCGCCTTCCTTCGGCAGCTTCTTCCCGGCCTTTGGCTTCTTCTCCGCCGGGGCTTTCTCGGCTACGGTCTTCTTCTCCTCTGCCGCCTTGTCGGAGGCCGGCTTCTTCTCGGCGGGCTTCTTCTCTGCTTTTGGTGCCATCAGAAATTGCTTTGCAAGTTAACGAAAGGAGAATCGGCTGGAAATTCGACGATAGGAATCAAGAACAATAGCTGCACTTGAAGAAATTTGTTGTAGGTTCTCATCTGGAATAATATCTTTATACCTGGTGTGGGAGAGTTCTAATTGGCTACTAGATGGAGCCGCAGATTGCTGATGTGGCTGCATAATGTGCGTTGGATCGAATTTGAGTTATGTAGTTAATCAACGGCGGAGAGAGGTAGCGGGAAGAGCTGTCTTCATGTTAAGTCTTGATTCCACGTGGGAACCTCGCATTGGTTGTTCGGAACGTTGCGGATGCATGACCTGTCATCAAAATTACCGGCTTTTATGTAAATATCTCTTTCGAGTTTCTCTATCATTTTTATTGGATTAATTTTCTTTTTCCAAGGGTATTGGGGATTAAGAACATAAAACAAGAATAAATATGAATTTGCAATAAATAAGTAATATAATATTATTTTAACAACCGTCAAAACAAACATATTTCAACATTAATTGACATATACTATGAGTTCCAAAAATATATGTAGGTATATTTTACAAAATAAAATTTAAAAATATACCATCATTATAAACAAAATTCTAAAATGTGAATTTGAGCGGCTATACTTTAATAGTTGAGTCTAAGTTTAGTCGGGAAGGTTGGTTATTAATTTATACTCAGATTATTGATCTTACTAATTTAAAATATAAAATCTTCTATACATATTCCCGAGTATTAATGGAAAATAATAATTTCATTTCTATTTCGTTATGCTATACCAGAATAATGTATGATCTATGTATTCAAACATCTTTTTGCATAAAGTGCAACACTACGTAAGATGTGTCACACAAACTTAAATTCTAAAACTTATTTATTTATCAAAGATTGCATGTCGTCCCCATTTTTTCCATAACTATCGTTGGAAGTGTTACTCCTAATACTTTGGCACACTGCCTTCATATTCTTGATAAATACAATCCTACGAAACATTTGAATAGTTCTCGCATGCTTATGGTTCCTAACACATTAAATATTTTGTACATTTTAGTCTTTGGAATGCAAATTACAATATTATTTATAATTGCTCTCCAACGCATATAGATCATGTTGTTTATATATTCAAACTATCACTTCAATATGTTAAAAATATTTTCAGCTACGTACGTTGATATATGTAGCTCAAAATTGATTTTAACGACATCTCATAACAAAGGCATCGCTAAAAATCCTTTCTAGCAACACTATCCGTGCGATGTTGCTAAAAAGAGCATCACATAAGCTCCTTTTTCTTGTAGTGAATTTGCTCGCCATGTTCTTTAAGCCACAAACCATGTATCAGTTTATGTCATGTCGTCATCTAGTTTAACGAAAATAAAAAACGAAAAAGAGATTTCTCTAATAACTCATGTTCAAGTCATCTTGAACCATTTTACACAGCCAAATGAGAAGGAGACCCCAATTCTTAGAGTATTCCAACTCGGTTGCTCTTCTGGCTAGATTGTGGGTTATGGCATTCCTTGCTCGATACGTGCATTCAATCTTTAGCTTTCAAGTTTCATGGGGATCTCATCTATATTATATATTACCTTATGAGATTTCAATCAAATTTAATTATTGATTATTTAGCATAAGATAATTCGATTGGACATAAATTGGGTATGATAGCTTTGTATCCCCTTATTCCTAGAGGGTTTTTAAGTCTTTGGTGTATTGTCTTATCATCTACTACTGATGATGTAGTTTTGGCAATGACGACTTCGCCTTTTCAATTTTAAAATATTTCGTTCACTCCATGCCGCGTGAATTTAACTTCCATATATTACCCGGTGTGACATTCAAATTTACTTATGGTTGGATGTCGTTTATCTTTTGATTTAGATGCTTATCTTTTATTGTAAGTATCAAGTGAATTTGTCAATGTAACCACATTTGTATGCCTAGTAGTTGTCCGTGGAAAGCTACTCGGTTCATACGTTCCCAATTTTTCCAAATAACGATCGTCGTCATTTCAATCCTCTTTCGTCGTTCGATCCATCATCAATCACAGTGATCTTTGATTTTCCAATTTCTCTTGTCAACATAGCACGAATTTGTATAAATCATTGCTTGCAAGTTGCAATTTTACAACAGATAGATTTATTGTGTCTCATTTTGCCATGGCAAAAAACAAATTCACTTAGTATTAATGTCCTTGATGACAAAAATACATATAATTACCATTCAAAATTTAATTACATTATTCAAATTTGTCTAAGAGACTATAAACACATTCATCGAAGTTGATGGACTGAATTTGTATTTCAATTTTTATAATGACATACCAATTAATCATAAATACTAGTCCTTGTCTGAAATAAACCATATGTCAACTATCATTTAACTATATTGGTATTGATATTAATAATATTATAATTGAGAATAAAAATAAAAAATTTAAATATAAGTTTAATTCAACATTTCTACATTAGTTTTATTTTTTATATAGAGTTATTTTGCCGTTAATTTCAATTTGATCCCATATTTTAAAGAAATCACTATCGCCTTCATCACTCAGTTAAAGTTTATCAAACGTCCGTATCATTAATGAAAATCAACAAAAACTTAATATGAAAGATTTGTTGTCGCCAAAACGAGCATATATTAACAGTAATTGACATATATTTCTAATCAAGAATTTGTGAGTTCGATTTCTCACTCCACATATTACACAAAAATTAACCTTATGTGGTTAACCATTTGAAGCAATACTGGGTGGATTAGTTATTTTTGCCATTCTTTTGAACTTCTTTTAGTGTGTAATTGATAGATTGATACTTTCGTTTTCATGTTTTAGAATTTCATTGGTTATCGTGTCTATATTATTAAGGACCCGTTTCATAACCGTATCGTTTTTTGTTTTTAGTTTTTTGAAAGCAAGGTTTTTGGGTAATTAATTCAATTTTCTATTTAGAAAAAAATAATTTCAAGAATCGATTTATGTTTTTTCAAAAATCTGAATTTTTTTTATAGTCAACTTTTTTTTTTCATATTTATCTCTAACAAAATTCTTTCTAACTCTATTTTTTTTTATCTTAAATTTTTCTCTACAAAATTTTTATATTTTAGATATTTATTATTATTTATCTTTCAAAATTTTTATTGTATCTTTATTTTTTTCTCTAACAAATCACTCTCATTTCTCTCCATAGAAAGTTAATATTTTCCCGAACTTTTTCTCTCTACAATTTCATTTTCTAAAACTTTTCTTTTTCTTCTTAATCTATTTTTCATTTGAAAATTATATAGTTTTGTTTCATTATAATGTTTATTTATCTTTTTTACTTATTTTCTCAAAAAAAAAATATTTCAAATTTTGTTTTTATCTTTAAATTTGTTCTAACTATAATTTTTGTTTTTCTTTCTAATTTCTTTTTTCTTTAATTTTTATTTTTATTCTTAATCTATTTTTCCTCGGTAATTTTTTCCGTAAATATCCTCCTCCCAAAATAACGATTCTTTTACATGGTTCTAGATTCCCGAATCGAAGAACGAGGTGGAGGTGGTGGACTAAAAATTTTCACAAGCACCAGAATGGGAGCGCATCTTCGATCCTGCCCCACATTATCTCTACTCTATATAGATTTTTCTCTTTAATATATATTTTCAATTTTCTAACTTTTTAAAAACAAAAAATAAAAAATGATTATTAAATATATTTGGTTTTTTGTTTTCTAAAAATAAAAACCTGTTACCAAACCTATATGGTTTATGTTTTTTAAAAACAAAAACTAGTTATCAAATATGGTTTACGTTTTTTAAAAATAGAAAATTAAAAATAATAAAATAATTAAACTAAAAAAACAAAAAACAAAAATGATTATCAAAGGATTTCTTCTTTTTGGCTTTTCCGGACACACTTCCCAATCCCATTTATTTGTTTGCTACAAACAAGATGGTTTGTACATAAAACTAATATTTCTTTGAAATGACAAACTAACTTCTTACAAAGGTGTCGTCCTAAGATGACATTTTTGTTAACATTTTATATATTGAATATCTAAAAATGCTGTAACGACTATTTGATTTCATAATAAAAGTTATGTAAATCAATTTTATGGTGGCTAGAGTGAACATAGCTCAACGATAATTAATACATATTTCTAATAAATAAATTGTAACTTTGAACCTTCACCCTTACATATTATAAAAAAATAAAAAATCAATTAGTTTTGACATGGTTTAAGTCATAATTACAATAAAGTACAAGCAACTACAACAAAAAGGATTAAATTTCCACGTCTTCAAAACTCCACCCCTAATAAGTTAGGTTGTGCTTATATAGGGAGCTTTGAAGCAAAACGGTGGAAGGTTGTCTGATCTTGGAAATGCATGATAAGGACATCAGATATCCTTGTACCTCAAAGTGTCTAAACAATTGTATAATGTTATTCACTTTGAGCATAACGCTCACGACTTTGCTTGCCTTGTACTAATAGAGATAATTGTTATCGTTTGCGTACTATGGATCACTCTCCTCCCTAATCAATGTGGAATTTTGTTTGCACACCTCCCTCGAACAAAGATACCTCATCCTTCCTATTAATCTACCTAACTGTGATAGACTTCATATCAATCTATCCCGACTTGATAAGGTATGTCTTGCTCGTCACTCGAGCATATAGCATGTCTGATGTCTATGCTCACCACTTTGAACACTTTTTGTTCGATTTGGAGATCCATCTACGAATTTCGTAATGATTATTCAGCTTCGAACATATTTCTACTATGACTTGTCTTACATTTTAGCTTCACTTTGATTTCAACTATACTATTTATTTATTATTTATGTAAAAATTGAAGTTGTCTATTCTATATTTAAATATACATTTTTTAGTACAACAACAATACAAATTTTTTAGTACAAACAATATTAATTAGTTATGTAATTTCCTCCTAATATTAATATTACTGATGAATGATGATTTAAATCTCCATCAATTCCTTCTTGCTAATTTCCTTTCATTTCCTTAAGTCAATATTTCGACAATATTGATAAACTTATCACTCTATGTCATGGTTGAGTATAATTTAATGGTAATTGACATATACCTCAAACCAAAAGTTTGTGAGTTTGAATTTCTTCCCCAACATGTTCTACTAAAAAAAATCACCCTATGTCATGAAACTATTGTTTTGTAACAATGAAATTTTTCCCTTTGAATTGATTGTTGGTAGATAAATAATTCAAATTTATGTCATATTTTAATAGGAATACAATAACAATATATAATACAAGTATTAAAGTAAGCGTTGAATTTATGAGTCAATAGTGTATTATAAAAAGCAATGAAAATGTAAAATACAATGTTATGTGTCTTTCATTAAAGTATTTGTCTTCAAATCCAATTTCCCAATATTCCCTCAAAATTGAATGGAAAAATGACAAAATATAAATAAAAGTAATTGTTATTTATCTACCATATTGATGTTAAAGACGAAATGACATGTGAACTTGTTGCATTGTCACAACAAGTAAATCAATCGACATGGTTTAAACCAATGTAGAACTAATAGTCTAAACGATAAATAGGTAGATGGTGCATGGTGCAGGATAAGATGCAAATATAATTAGTTTCATACTGTGTTTTTAATATAAAATTAAATAAAACAAAAAGAAAAAATTATAAATGAAAGTATTGTTGGTTATTGCCTTTAATTATAGAGTAGAATTTAGTCTTTAAATTTATGTAATTAATGTTCTTAAAAAAGCCAAAATTCCCAAATATATTTATCAATTTAAATAATTTAGGTTCCAGTCAATAATTTGTATTACCGATAAGGTAAAACATGAATAATCTAAATTACGCAAACAAATAGAAATAATTCAAATGACTAAAAATTCACCAAAGTGAAAAACGTAGCGGGAAATTTGAAATTACAAGAAAGAAGAAAGACTTCCTCAATCTCCATACTCGCTTCTCATTGGTTCATCTGGGAGCGCCACGGATCTCAAAAGTAAATAACTCACAACCGTCGATTAAATTCCAATCCGACAGCCCACGTTCTTCCAAGACCTTGGCCGGTTCCCGCTGCGGTATAAAGCCGCAGCAACGCGGCCTGAAGATCCGACTCAACGATTCTCTGTCAATCTGTAGCTTCGTTTTCGCCGCCGTAAGAATTTAAATCAGCGCTCAATGGAGACCACCGGCAAGGCAAAGAAGGGCGCCGGAGGAAGAAGAGGAGGCGAGAAGAAGAAGGCAGTTTCTCGCTCCGTCAAGGCCGGCCTGCAGTTCCCCGTCGGCCGTATCGCTCGTTATCTCAAAAAAGGAAGGTACGCTCAGCGAGTCGGCACCGGCGCTCCGGTTTACTTGGCCGCAGTAATGGAGTATTTAGCCGCTGAGGTAAACAAAATAAATTAATAAAACAAAATCTCCTTCTCTTTCTCTAAGATCGCCATTGAATTGTTCTTTAATGGATGCGATTTGATTTCTAGGTTTTGGAGTTGGCCGGAAATGCGGCACGAGACAACAAGAAGAACAGAATCATACCGAGGCACGTACTATTGGCGATCAGGAACGACGAAGAGCTCGGAAAATTGCTCGCCGGCGTTACAATCGCCAGTGGCGGCGTTCTTCCGAACATCAACCCGGTTCTTCTGCCGAAGAAGACGGATAAAGCCATGAAAGAACCGAAATCTCCATCGAAGGCGGCTTAGACGGCCGAATTGCAGAATTTGTTGAATCTGTAATTTATGATCGTCTTTTGGAAATCGTAGCGGAAGAATTAGGGATTTGAATGCGAATACTGTATTCGTCATATCTTATTTACGAATTTACCGGCGAGGAATCAACCAGATGACTTGTTCTGTTCTCGCTTCTCTAGTTCTGCACAACCTTTAAAGTTCACAAAATTTAAAACACATGTTGGTATAAAATTAATGAATTTTTCGAGTTTTAGTCTCTTTTAGATTTCAAGATCATGAATTTCAATTGAAATGTGGGGTTGATACTTTATGATTTTGAATGATCAATTTTTTTTTTTTTATAAATTCAGATAAAAATAGCTCGATTTGGCAAGATTTTATCGATATTTAATTGTCATATTTTAATTTCTAATTAATAAATAAAGAATTTTAATTTAATTTATTTAAAAATCTTTTTTGTTCCAAAATAAGATAAAAAATTTAAAATTAATTATCAAATTTCTAATCACATAATTTAAAACCCTTTTGAAACTTTTGTTTTAAAGAGATAGTTATCGAGTGTATAACAATATAAGTAAATTTGAATATCTAAACGGATTAAATTGAAAGCTTGCTGTTTAAATGGATAAACTTGTTAAACTTAGCGGTATAATATGATTTTTTTCCCCATTTTGTTATATGAAAATGATACTTTGGAGGTAAAACATAGAAAATTAAAGAATATTTTGATGTAAAATATTATAGACTTAGTAAAATCTTAGAGACAACATTAGAAATTGATTTTATTGATGCATGTGCAACAAAATGTACCCAATGGAACTTGAAATGGTCAATTGAATATCTTGCCAATTAAACTTCTAACTTCATCTTTCTGTTCTTTACTCCTTGAAAATTACCTGTTGCAGAAAACAATATTTATTTTAGACTTAAGGTTTTTGATATAATTATTTTACCTTATTTGAACCTTACATTAATTTCAGCAAACTCTCAGTCTATTCCCCCATTCAAATGAAGCAAGTTTCCCCTGCAAATGATTTTTTTTTCCTTGGTTCAGCATCAAACCATCATAAATAAATATCTAAGATTAATAATTAATAAGCTAAAATACAGTATAAAACCTTGAGATTTAACCCGTTTCTAGTTTGGTACTTGAATTTTTTTATTAAGGGGTTGTTTTATTTAGTCTACCCAATTTAAGAAAAAAACCCAGTGATCAAGGTATATTTTAATCTCTAATGTAAGAGAGGAGAGAAAAAAAAGATGAGGAAAGTTTTTAATTTCTCAAAATTTCTAAAAAGTTGGTAGAAATTTTTCACACCACTTAAGTTTGTCAAAGCCAATTTCAACATTTACGTGGCTGATTAATTAAAAAATATTAAAATCTAAATCAATTGTTTTTTTTCCATAAGACTATGAGGAAAACATGCAAAATCAAGAACTAAAACAAATATATAGTTAACCTGAAAAAAAAATGAAGAGACAAACATCTTAATTCAAGAGGGTAGAAATCAAACAAGAAAATTAAAAAAGTTTTAGTAAAGGTAAATCTAAATTGAAGAACCAAAGTTATCAAAATTTGAGAAACCAAAATATTTACAAACCGAAGAGATTAGAATCACAAACTTACACGAAAATGAGAGTGCGAAATGGCAGGGATAGACTGTAAATATAATACTGAAACCAGAGATTAGAAACAGAAGTTAATTCAATTAAAAAAGAAAGAAAGAAAGAAATTAAAAAGAAATCAAGAAAGTAATAATTAAATGATAATTACTTGTGTATATCCCATGAAGGAGGCACATTTGACACAGTAGACCGGTACACCAATCAAAGGATCCTCACCATCATCGTCATTTCCTCGAGTTGGGGCCGGATCGAATAAATTCACACTAAAAATAATAAAAAGAAAAGTAAATATATATATATATGTTGATAATGTGAGTAATAAAATAATATAATATGTAGTGTTACGTGGAAGAGAAGAGTTGTCCCTCGGAGACGGGCCAACAAAGCTACAAAAAAGAAAGAAAGAAAGAAAAAAGAGAAATGAATTAATTGGACGCCGCCATTGTTAGGGTTTGTTTTGGTATGAAGAAAGAAAAGAGGGATTACGAAATCTTCGTGGCGGATGAAATTAGTGAGAAGGGCGATGTGAGTGCGGCAAACGCAGCAGATCAAAACCGGTTCATCGGGATCGTATTCAACAACAAAGAACCTTCCCATATTGTTAGAGAGATCAGAGAGAGAGGGAAATGTTCAACTTTGAAGTGAAGGGCGATGAATTTGTTTGCAATTGTGTGTCTTAAATATTCACTGTTTATGGTTTGTAGTATAGACGGGTGAAGGATTTAGTTCATTAATTATTATTCGATATATAGTCTATTTAGTTTCAAATTTTTTGGGTTAAATTACTAAGTTTTAAAACGGTAGAATTTAAAATTTTTAAGTTTGGAAACGGTCTGTGGGTTGAACTCATTAAAGATATGATATGACGTTGTTTCTTGCTCGTTATCGACTACTTAGACATTACTCATGTCTCTATTCTCCTTCGTCGCTGGTCTCTTCAAACTAGATATGAAACAAACAAAGATACATTCCTTCATTTTGTTTTGAATATGGTGTGAATAAAAGACTCTCTATCTGTGTCAAACAAGTCAAACGACAGCATGGGCAAAGGGAAGGGAACAATTAGGGATGGTGATTCGAACCTTTGATCGAGAATATGTCTTAACAGGTTGGCAAAAGTTTGAGCTAGTAATTATTCATTGTTAATCTTTCTAAATATTTAACATTTTCCACATTTTTTTACAACAAAAACAAATCGTTTTTTTGTGTGATACCTAAGTAGGGAGGAGAAGTACATTGATAAACTAACATCATATCTAAATGAGAAAGATCATAGGATCATGCAATCATTGTAAAAAAGACTCAAAAGATCATTTGATAGTAATTACCTACACTATCATAAAATCATTTAATAATATTCACTTTTCTGAGTAGCCGTCAAAAGATCAATTAATAGTAATTAACAATGGGTCAAAATTTTAACCTACCATATTTTAAAGAAATTATTGAATGTATTAACTAATGAACTATATGTTTATTTAAAAAAAAATTAATTGAACTATATTTACATTTATTGAATTTTTTAAATGTGATATACACTTTTCTTCAAAAGAAAAAGCTTATAACAAAACAATATAATAGCGGTTAAAATTTTCTTTTTAAAAACTTATTTTCAAAATATTAATTCTACCAAATTTATTCTATAATAATGCTTAGAAATTGTTAGTCAGTCTCTTAACCTAGTGATGCATGTTTAAAATTACATAAATTGATTTATTTTAAGATTTTGATTTTAAATAGGAGGTTAGATTTTTTTATTTTTGGTTAATTTAGTTCTAAGTTAAAGAATGGGGGAAATGGAAGATCTTTTTAAAAAGAATGCACAATACTTGGCTCAAATCCCTCAGAAACCTAATACACTCCACGTGGCATTAAGTAAAGTAAAAAAACACGTTAAAGACAGCTGTTAATTCATGATTGGTCAAGATTTTAATACTTTTCCATTAGCCGAAGAATAAGGGGAAATTGACTCAAATGACTTTCAAAAGTTTATGAAATGCTCAAATGACCCACCTTTTTAAATGTGCCCAAATGACCTACTTTAAGCATTAATGATGTGTCAGAGGAGATCAAATGACCAAAATATCCTTAATTATAATACATGACCGCTGGAAAAAACCTCGGTCGGGGTCATATTAATTCCCGCTCGGGAATCATTTAATTCACAACAACCATTGCCTTTAATTTTGCTGTTTTTGATTTCTTCAACCTTGCTCGAGGTCCATCCCACTTCATCGAAAATACTTCTTCATCTTCAACCTCCCACCACACCACTTCAAACATTTCAAATCAAACTCCCGCAGCCACAGACCTCAATTCCAACATAAACCAAAAATCGAAGAAAAACAGGGACCGAAACAAAGAAGAACACCAGAAAACAAAATCAACAGAAAAAAATCTAAATTGATGCAATATTATATATGTATTCGTTCATCTAAACATCGAAAAACTGAATCAATGCAAATAAATAACCATTCAACTCCTCAACACACATAAAATCGAAGCCAATCGTCAAGAGAAACAAAAATCAAGAAGAAATCGGAAGGGACTGCGAAGAAAAATCGAGAAGACGAATTTGGGTTGAAAACGACGAGGAAGGAGGAAAAATAAAGCAAATGGTTTGGTTTTCTGAACAAAAGGGTAAGTACTGTAATTTTGCTAGCTTTTAAAATTAATTAAATATTCAAGTGGGTTATTTGAGCACATTTTTTTAAAATTAATTAAATATTCAAGTGGGTTATTTGAGCACATTTAAAAAGGATGGATCATTTGAGCATCCGGCAAATTTGGAAGGTTATTTGAGTCAATTTCCCAAGAAGAGGAGGGTCTAATCTGTCATTTCCATCCGCTTAAGAAGAAAGAGCGAAACAAAAAATCCGGGAAAAAGGAGGTTTCCGGTAGGGAGAGCCGCTCAGAACTCATAAATTATCTTCCCAAATTAACCAAACCAATCACTTCACGCGCCTCCACACGCGCCTCGCCGGGGACTCGGTTGCGGTTGTTTACTTCTCCACTTCAGCGAAATTGTTTTTAGCTTTAATCTATAAAGTTTAATTTTTTCCCTAATTTATATAATCAACTGTATGTTAGATTTTTGTTTGCAAAAAAAAAAAAAAAGTTATCAATGAATTGTAAAACAAACATATATTTGGTATTGATAGAATTTAGGCAGAAATGATATAGAAGTAAAGATTTATTTTATACTTTAATCGATTCAATTTTAGCATTTTTTTGCCTAAATTTAAAATTATTGTTAATTAGATGAAATTGAAGCTTTGTATAAAATTATTATAACTTGTCAAATCTAGAGGGAAAATAATTTTGCCCCATTCATTATATAAAAATTATACTTGGGATGTAATGCTACTTAGAATTCTTTTTTTTCTTTTTCTAGTAATGTGATACTTTGAAAATTAAAAAAAGTAGAAATTGATTTTATTGGCATATGTGCAACAAAATGTACCCAATTGATAGTGTAAAAAAAAAAAAAAAGTATCCAATGGAATTTGAAATGACCAATTGCCATTTCTTGCCAATTAAACTTCTAGCTTCAGAACGTTGTGTTCTTCACTCCTTGAGAATTACCTGTTGCAAAAACAGTATTTATTTTAAACAAAATAATAATTTTTTCTTCTAACAAAATAAGACAATGGAATATATTTACCTAATATTTGAACCTTACATTAATTTCCCCAAACTCTATTGGTTCAGCATCACGCAAACCCCACATTCAGAGGAACCAACTTTCCCCTGCCAATGAATATTTTCTTGGTTCAGCATCAAACCATCATAAAATAAATATCTATAATTAATAAGTTAAAATACAGTTATAATGATAGGATTTTAGTTTTATTACTCTACTCAATTTTAGTGGATTTTAGTCCATAAGTCAAAATATTAAAATCTAAACCAAGATTTTATTTTTTTCCTAAAACAATAGGGACTATAAACAAACATCTAAAATTAGGGACTAAACATATATATTTAACCCAAAAAAAGAAAAAGTAAAAAAGGTTTAAATAAAGGTAAATGAGACTAGAATTAGAAACTTACGAGAAAATGAGAGTACGAAATGGCTTGGATAGATCGTAAAAAAAATACTGAACCAGAGATTAGAAATGGAAGAGTTAAAACATATAACACAACACGTTAATTAATAAAAAAAAAAAGAAAATCAAGAAAGTAATTAAAATTGGTAATTACTTGTGTATATCCCATGAATGAGGCACATTTGACACAGTAGACCCGTACGCCAGTAATAGGATTATTCTCACCATAACCTTCATTTCCTTGGTTGTGGTAATCCAATAAATTCACACTAAAAATTAAAAGAGAAATCGAATAAAAGTATATATAGATATTGATAATTAGAGTAAATAAATATATAGTCTTAATTACGTAGAAGAGAAGACGTGTCCATCAGAGACGGGCCAAGCATCCTACAGAAAAGAAATTAAAGATTAATGGGGCGCCATTGTTAGGGTTTTGAAGGTATGAAGAAAGAAGAGAGAGAGAGATTACGAAGTCTTGTGTGGGAATGAGATTAGTGAGGAGGGCGATGTGAATGTGGCAAACGGAGCACATCAAAATGATTTCATCGGTGTCGTATTCAACAACAAAGAATCTTCCCATGTTGTTGGAGCGAGAGAAAGAGAGATTTTGAAGTGAAGGGCGACGGATTTTGGTTTATGGAATTGTGTTCTTGTGATCAGTTATATAAATATTCACTGTTTGTGGTTTGTTGTATAGGCGGGTGAAGGATTAGGTAAAACTGTTATTTCTATACTTTATATATTCAGGATTTGGATTTTGTGGGTTAAATTATTATATATATTTTTAATTTGTGGGTGTTTACGGGTAGGTAGGGAAGTTTTTTGGACCAACCTAAATTTGTGGGTTGGTCATATTAGGGAACCAATGGAACCAAACACAATAACCAACCCAAAATTTAGAAGCGACGAGTTGAGAGAAGTAAGAGAAAGTTAGATCAAGAAAGACTGAGAGCGACGAGTTCGAGAGAGATGAGAATCGTGAGAGGCGATGAAATTAGGAGAGGAAAGGAAAAGAATGAACATAGAGCTGACTTTTTATGGTGGATCTAAGATTGCAACGATTCAAGGGTTATCGATGTAGAAAGTGGGGAGGGTGTGGGGAGGAATCGCAAGGGAGGGAGGTGGGAGGCAAGAAAGAAAATAAAATCCCTAATAAATAAATAAATATATATATATATATATATATATATATATATATATATTTATATATATTTTAATTTAATGAGCACGAAGTGAATCGAATTTTCAATTTTTTTAAATTTCAACCCAACTCAAGTTGATTTTTTTAACTGAACCCAACCCAACCTAGTTTGGATTGCTTGAGTCACCAAAATTTTTGAACACCTCTAATATTTTTGGTCTATGAGATCTCGGGATAGGTGGATTTTGTCCCTAGGTTTTAAAATCGTAGGGTTTAGAAGTTTTGGAAATAGTTAACGACATGAAATAATTTAGGAGAAAGATGATGCTGACGCTTACCGATGCTTTCGTTCCCCATCCCGGCCTGTTGCTACTTGCGTTGCCATTGATCTCCTTCTATAGACTATTTGAACATGATTTGAAACAATGAAGAGACACCTTGTTTGTTTCAAAGACGCTCTATCTGTCTACCAGATAATTAAGTCAAATGGCAGGAAGGGCAAATGGTGGGCTAGTTGACGTGGACAATAAGATTATAACTTTTTAGTTCAAAATAGGTACTTTAACCATTTTAACTATATGCTCAACTGTAAACTTTGATTTTCCACATCTTTTGGGAAAGAAAAGTATCATTTTTAGATTTATGATTTAATAATGGCAGAAAATTCTAACCTAATCTGAGAGTTATTAAATGCTTTTAACTTTTTAAGTTGTGTTTTAGATTGATAACATAGTCACTCTTTATTTTCAATATAACGTGTGATAAAGTAGAAACAGATACCTCGACCAATTGAGATTTGTTTAGTTTGGACCAAATCACACTTTTATTCGTTACGTTTTTAAAAATGAGATAAATTATTTATTTCTAATCATATAAGCAATATCTAATGTGAAGCCTACATAAAATTAACTCTTTTTTTTTTTTTAATTCTAAAGCGTACGTAACAACACAATGTATTAGTGGTTGAATATTCCTGTAGGGAATAAATAATACATTTTTACTAAAAACAATAATAATAATGATACACTAGTATCATTATTTTAATTTGGTACTGGTAAAAGAATATTTAAATAAGAGAGGGACCCACTGAGGCCCAATTTGCTGAGATGGCCAGCGCATTGACAACTCAATTATTCTTCGGAATTGAACTCTGTCTAAAACCTACTACAGTCCACGTGGCATTAAATAAAGTCCAAAAACACGTTAAAGACAGCTGTTAATTCATGATTGGTCAAAATTTTAATACTTTTTCATTTGCCGAAGAAGAAGAAGAAAGAGGGTCTGATCTGTCATTTCCACCCGCTTAAGAAAGGCAGAAGAGAGAGCGAAACAGAAATCCGGGAAAAGGGTGGTTTTCTATAGGGAGAGCCGCTCAGAACTCAGGAAATTTCTCCCCAAATTAACCAAACGAATCACTTCACGCGCCACCACACGCGCCTCGCCGGAGACTCGGTTGCGGTTGTTCTCCCATTCCTTTTTTCTTCTTTTGTCTTGTAATCGGTACATCTTTCTAGCATTTTTTTTATTTCTTTTCCTCTCTCTCTCTTTCGCTCTCTTATTCGTGTTCTTTTCATTTGTGGATTGTTTGATGTTGTTTTTAGGTTATCGCTGAGGGATATATATATAGTTTTTTTGTATTCGATTTAATTGGAATTATTATGGCTGCTCCACCTGCAAGAGCTCGAGCGGATTATGATTATCTCATAAAGCTTCTTTTAATCGGCGATAGCGGTGCGTAATTTTCCGCCATTTTCCTGTGGTTTTTTTTTCCCTTACTGGTGTTTTCGGATTCAAATAGAGCCTCATTTTCCAATCTCTTCTTTGTGCTTGTCTCATTATATTCTATTTGGAATGTTTGTTTTTCTTGGATCTGGACTGCTCTCTCTAATCCCTCACTTTTTGGATGATTATGACAATTACGCTGAAATTTGCGTTGGTGATTGAGGACGCATGTTGTTTAATTAGCCTTGCCCTTCATCAATGTTTGCGAATCTTAGATTTGATGTATTACATTATGTAAATTTGAACTTCTCTATTTTTTTTTACATTGTTTCTGTTCAATTGCTGATTCGGTTCCCACTGTAATGCTAGCTAACGATGCCATTTGTTTCTGTTCATTTTTTGTAGGTGTTGGTAAGAGTTGCCTTCTCTTACGTTTCTCAGATGGTTCCTTCACCACTAGTTTTATTACTACCATTGGGTGTGTATGAACTTCAGTTTTCTATTTATGGAACTTGGAAGTAAATGCCCATGTCTTGTGGGAGTTTGTAAGTCCCATGGATTAATGTCCTTAAAAGTTTCTTTCTGTATTAACAAGGTCATTTTTAACTCGTGCAGAATTGATTTTAAAATCAGAACCATTGAGCTTGATGGAAAACGGATCAAGCTCCAAATTTGGGACACGGCTGGTCAAGAGCGGTTTCGTACAATCACCACAGGTCTGTTTTCCCCCTCCATGATTGACATGTCTGTAACTAGGAAGTAGAGTCATGTCATGGTAGATGTTATCATTGTATTTGAATGAATTTGAGTTGTTAAATTGGAGATCTTTTGCGGATAGGGATAGCTAATTGTTTTACATTTTTATGCATTGTATCCGACTTGGAGTTGAGTGTTCAGGGGTTGTTTGTTGTTGCTGGTTTCATATTAGGACTAGTAACGGTGAATTTGACAGCATAGGTTGCAGTTTCTTCTTTGCTGCACATGGAGATTGATTCTCTTTTCTTTGTTTACCAAGGTGTATGGTATTGTTTCATATGCTAGATTGTATCTCTAGCATTAATCGTCATAGGACACAAATATTACGATGAGCAGAGTTTCTCAATAGTTCTGTTTGTTGTTTTCAGCTTACTACCGTGGAGCAATGGGCATTTTGCTGGTCTACGATGTAACAGATGAATCATCTTTCAACAGTAAGTCCCATTTTTCCAATTTCTTGCAGATTTTTCTTTTAGTGAATTGCATTCATCATTTGTACAAAATTTGCATAACCATACATGTCTGTTCATCATTTATGATGCCTTTTCCTTTGAGCTGGATGGAGGATGGTGGGGAGTGTTCCATATTCATTTTCATTATCGTTTTGCCTACTCATTTCTAATTTAACTCTAACCATTTTCAGACATTAGAAACTGGATTCGTAACATCGAACAGCATGCTTCTGATAATGTCAACAAGATATTGGTAGGAAACAAGGCCGACATGGACGAAAGCAAAAGGGTATGTTGTATTCCGCTATGAAAAGGAAGGCATCAGTTCTAGAGGACAAAAATGTTATTTGGTTCCTTTTGTTGAAAACTCCACCTTCAAGTTCTGAACTTTAGTCAACTGTTCTCTGAAACCCTCCCTGTTATTTCTATGCCAATGTCATTTCTTTTAATATCCCTTCTCTTGCAGGCTGTGCCAACGTCCAAAGGTCAGGCGCTCGCTGATGAATATGGCATCAAATTCTTTGAAACCGTGAGTTTCTTGCTCTTCTTCCTCTGTAATTTTTCCATGATAGTGTGACGTTGTAAGCTGAAGGATATTTGCATGACAGAGTGCAAAGACAAATCTTAATGTGGAAGAAGTTTTCTTCTCAATAGCAAGGGATATAAAGCAACGTCTCGCTGATACAGATTCAAAAGCCGAGGTATTTTATCATTCTTCTGCAATAGTTCGCCCAAAAAATCAAGAAATAATAGGAATTAGAACCTTTTTCCCACCATATATTCAAATTATTCTCGAACCATAACAATAGCTTGGCTTTTGTTGTGTTTGCAGCCTTCAACGATCAAGATTAATCAGGACCAGGGAGCCAATGCTGGTCAGGCTGCGCAAAAATCAGCCTGCTGTGGTTAACCCTTTGAAGCAATGCTTGGTCCATGTGCACTTCTAGTTATTTTTGTGATTCTTTTGAACTTCGTTTAGTTTGTAATTGGTAGATAGGTACTTTCATGTTTTAGAATTTCATTTGTGATCGTGTCTATATTATTAAGGCATTTATTTGTTTCTTCTTTTTGGCTTTTTCAGAAACGACTTCCCAATCCCATTTATTTGTTTGCTACAAACAAGATGGTTTGTACATAAAACTAATTTTACTTTAAAATGACAAACTTTCATCTTGGTAATGATACTAACTTCTTGCAAAGAGGGCGTTGTAAGATTGCATTTTTGTTCAAGATTTTATATATTGAATATCTCAAAATACCATAGTGACTTATTTGATTTCACAATGAAATGTTGTCTTCTTTTTACTGCAAGTAATTTTTTATAATCAAATTTTACCGTGAATGCAGTAGTTTTGACCTGTGGCTTTAATACATAATAGTTTCCAACTTACGATGTTTATCATATCATGTAGCAATAAAGTAGAAGCAGTTACAACAAAAAGTTTAAATTAAAATTTCAATGTTTTCAAAACTCCACCCCCAAATACATAACACTAAAGCCACTCGTTTTCACAGTTAACAACAGAAGTTGAGTCAGATTTCAGAGCTAAGAGATTTACAATGTGGATGTATTTTCCAAAACAAATTGGTCACAAATACTCCAGATAAGGTGCTAAATCTAAATTCTAACCCCCACTGTTCACTGTGCTTGAAACATCGTTGCATCTTTCTCGGCAACGGGAAATATGATATTGAACTTCACCCACCAACGAGATGCATCAGGGCGGGTAGGGGATAAATATCTATTTTCTAATTCGACGAAATTGTAGAATGTGGATCAGTAGAAAGTAAAACTTGATTCTTTTGCACAGAATCCAACTAACCTTTACCTACATTTACAGAACTGGCGATGAAGGGAGTCAACTAAAGGTTAAGTTCTTCCTTGCCATAGATGCGCTGAAGCTCTCGTGTAGCTGCTTGAAATGATTCTGAAAAAATGAGTGCAAACATATATATATAAGATTTTAAGTGGAAAAAGCACAGACGCAGCCTCCCTCTGCAACAATCTCAATTCTCAAGGTGTTTTTGTGTGTGTGATAGAGCGGAGCAGGAGTTGCTCGTGGATATATCTCAGAGAAACTTAAAAGAAAAAACTTGCGTTTACCTTTCCAACTCCGGAAAGATTTCTGATTGATTGGTGCACCAAAGATAGTCTGAATTGTATCAAACAACATGCTCTCCGGAGTGCTTCTTAATTCTTGTACTATCTGATAGATTGTCTTCCCATTCTCAAAGTATATATGATTATTTGGGTGTTTTGTTTTGCAGCCAGCGTGTCGCTCAAACTCATAGGCATTAAGCATCTTCCAAGAAAATACAGAAAGCGCGTGTTAGGTCTTAATGCATCTTGAACTGTTGCATGAAGGAGAAAATTTGACGACTAACCTTGGAGAAGTTGCAAGATTGGCACCCACAAAGATAGCCGGATCCATTTATAATTCCACGAAGCTCCTGATAAAACCAGTGAAGCATATTAGCTATCACATAATGGGTACAACATAAGGTGTAAATGGAGCCAAGAAAAGAAAATTTACCTCTCTAGCTACAGAAACATACTTCACAGGAACGCCGTCGAGCATACCAGTCGTTATCAAACTTCGAACATTTGATGGAAAGCTGTTTGGAGCTTCTTTCCTCATTTTGTATTCTGGTCTACTCTTTGGGGTTGTATCAGGCTTTTGCTTAGCAATTTGATTACTACTTACAGCAACAGCTACATCAAAATTTGATGATTCCAACTCTGTGAGACCTGGAGCTTCAGATGATTGGAATGAAGATTCGTAAAATGTTGGGTCATGGCTTCCAAGAGACCTGCCTAACGAGATGATATCTTGCTCATCAGGAAATCCCCCAAATGAGATTATATTTGCATCCCGCTTACCGTAATCATCACCAATTGAGACAACATTGCCATCTACCTTCCCACCAGGACCTAGAAACCTAATATGGTGATCCCCATCGTTGGAGGGTTGATTCATCAAATTGAAACTGTCGTCCTCCTTAATATAGGCTGATCCCGCAGATGCAAGACCCGTTTCAGTTTCCTTATAGTATCCTTCTATGGATATTTGATCACCATCTTCCCTACTAGAATTATTTCTTAGAGACGCTTGCAGACCATGTAGATTATCTTTAACCTGATTGATTTTCACTTTTCTAATTCCTCCATAGCTGAGAGATGTTTCAGAATCCTCCATACCATGAGATATAGACAACCCTACGGATGCATCCTCTCCATATTGGTCTTCAATACCTTTTCTCCCGAGATCCAAACTATCAGAAATTACAGGAGATGCTTTCGTTAGATCAAAGTCAGTAGACCTTACTGATTCAGGTCCAAATAAGCGACCAATAAGTTGGTGTGAAACAGACTGATAATTAGCACTATGCTGCTCCCAAGGAAGAACATTCATATTTGACAACCCTCCAGTCATTTTGCTGTTTGGAGATTGAATTGCTTGCTTCTTGTTGGGAAAAACCTGTGTCTCACAACCATCTACAAACCAGTGATGTGCCCGCTTCGAGTCCAATAATGATGGGCCATCAAAAGTTGAATTTGCATCATTTTCGTGCCCAGGACCCTTTGTCATCCAAAACCCTTTGTTCTGCACAGAACATCACAAATAATCAGAGCAAGTGTATTCTTTGTCTTAACCAAAGTCATAGGTCCACCAGAAAATGATTATTCAGAGAACAAATCAGAGAATAACTATGTCAAGTGATTATTACTGTCACACTTTCAGTTTTTCTCACTTTTACGAGCCTTTGACCACTCTTCCCAATGGTTTTTAAAAGTCTTTGTTTTTCCAAAAGGTCTACTGCATGGTGTACTCGATGGGTTTATATTAGAGTAACTTGCATATAAAAAAAATGAATGTCTCAAACCCTGAATACATGAATGCAATTTGCAATCATGAAAAATCATCAATTAGAGTGATGAAACTAAGAAAGCAATTGGATATCCAGGAAATTGAAGGCACTAAAGCCTACATTCACTGAAATAAGCCCTAAAAGATGTAGTTTCAAATACTGGTGGCTTGAACTATACAAATTGAAAGAAGGGAAATGTTGCTATTTTAAGTGCAATTAGATCATTCCTTAAGTTCCTGGTCAAACTCTTACAACATAGCCATTACTTACAGTCAATCGTGACAGTTTTAAACAACAAACCTAGAAACTTATACTTTGAAAATGTATAGCATACCATTCTGATTGTTCTACTCCAAAGTAATATTGCCTCATTCACTCAACACAGCATGTACCGCGCGAAGAAGAGCATGAAACTACAAAAGCTCTGCCTCCCGACTTTCTTCTAGCCCGCCATTTCACTGCACCAGAACTAACGAGCAAAGAATTTCACTTATACAACAAAATCAACTCATATCTTAAAAGAAAAAACTCCATAAAGTTCAAGAAAATAAGACATTATTTTTCTCCTGCACACATAACGAAACAAAACCATCGTACGATTTCTCGAGCAGGAGAAAGACCTAGAAATGGACGCAAAAACAGAAAATCAAACTTTTTTCTACCATTAAAGGGTATCGGTAAACATACCGTCCGTTGATTACTAGTTTATGGGACCATAGGGTTCCGGCGAAGCTACTCCGGCGACGAATTTCGACGAGATTGATGGCTTCATAAGGACAACGGATGGACTGAGAGGGGGCAAAATGCAGTTCTGGAAACTATGTTTAATTAAATACTCTACTTGTTTTTTAATCATTTAAAAATATTTTTCTAAATAATATCAATAAAAAAATAAAAATTACGCGAGTTAAAAATTAATATAATGATTATCTGTCATCCAAATTTCAAACCCATTTGAAGAAAATTAGAAATAGATATAAAATACTAGATTTATAATCTATTTGGATTATTCTTCTGTCAAATTAATTATACTTTCGAAAATGTTTGTTTTAGTAATTGTATCGGATCATTATAATCATAAATATAATAGTAATCAATTTTGGCTCTAAAATTAAAAAAAAAAACATCAAATATTAAAATATTACTCTTTTTCAAACTAATAATAATAAATATCATTTTTTAAAAATACATGCACCAATATAAAAAATCAACCATAACTAAAATTCTAAGATAAAAATAATATTTAATCTAAAATATTTTTATTTCTTAGATTTTTAAATATAAAAGAGTTTTTATTTATTTGAAATAAATGGCAGGGGACAGCGACATGTAATTAATTAGCTGCCTTTTCACTTTTTTTTTTTCTTTTTCTAAATGGCTTTTCGCTTTTCTTTTTAGTATAATTGAAATTATTTATCAATTTCTATGAGATTTTTTTTTTAAAGCTCTATCTCCCCATCAATTATATGCTTAATATTTGAAATTGGCGCTGTCTTGCTCCATCTATTTTTTTTATTTTAAATTTAAACCGCAAATTACTATCCAACAAATCTTTGACTATAGATTTCAAATTTTGAATTTTAGATTTTATTTGTAGACCATTTTGCATTTATTTATGTTTTCAACGACATTTCCTACAAATAATCTAAGGTCTGAAAATATCATTTTTATTTTCTAAACCAAAAAAATTAACTTTGATCCCTTAACTCATTTTTATCATATTTTTGGTCCAAAACTTAAAAAGTAAAAAAGGATAGGTTTATATTTGTTTCCTCAATTTTAAAAATTGACAGTTTGGTCCCTATCTTTAAAAATTGGTTTTAAAATCATATGTTTTTGCCATTGAAATCATTTTGGTGTATGTATTCTCAACATTTTTTTTTATTTTTTTAAAAAATTGAACATTGTAATCCTATCGACCTCAACCTGATTTTTACTTTTATATAATTTTTTTATCTAGTACAACCCAACGTGACTCAATGTGTACATTCAAATCAAAGTTATCCATATATGTTAACTAACTAAAGACTACTATTTATACAAGAAAATAAAATTAAAAACTAATTAACAATGAGTACCAAAATGATAAACATCGAAATGAAATAAAACTAAAACTTGAAGATTAAATAGGTGATTCTAAGACTAAAGTAAAAAATAAAACTAATTAATTAATTAAATTAAATTAAATTATTAAACTTTCGCTCTCTCACCCCATTTAATATGTTTTTTAAAATTAAAATTTAAACCGCAAATTTCTAACTAACAAAGCCTATATATATGTGGTTAGGAAGAAATCGCATACACCAACTTTTTTTTTCCTTCTTCTTAAAAAGAAAAACTATTTATTTCCTCGATAGCTAATTTAATTTGTTGCTTATAAGAAAGTTGCCCTCTTTTTCTTCATTCTTCTTTCTCTTTTTTCTTATCGCCCATTCGCAATGCACGCTAATTATTACATAGCGTTTGATTAAAAATTCGAGTATTTTTCAAATATTTTATGTATTGGACATAAAATTTAAATATCAAAGACCAAAAACTTTATTTTTAAAATATTCTTTAACCAACAGTTAGGAAAAAAAATAATAAATCTTTTCAAGTTCTACTGCTACCTGAACCAAATGGAAACCAAATTCAAAATTTATAGGCTGTATATATTTTTCCAATATTTTGGCTCAGTTATTTAAATTTCAGATAATTTATACAAGTATTCAATCGGGATTTAATCCTAAAAAAATTAAAATATATTATAACATTATTCATTTTTAATAACAAAAACTCTTAAAATTATATATATATAAATTTAGACGTAGTTTTGGTCTGTGTGTGTTATTTTGTGGAGTGAGCTGTAGCGGCCGCTTTAAAATCTTCAGTGCCTCCAAATCCCCAAACTCCAACCAAAATCTTCAGTTGCCTCCTTCAAATCCCCATTATATTCGAATTTCGGATTTCACGCTCGGGAAAGCATCGGCGATCCATCCAAATGATACGGCCGAACGCGTACAGTCTTGATCNGACAGCAGCTCCTGCAAGAATCATGCTGCCGCCAGAGAATCGGCCTCAAACTCTTCCGCCGACTGCAACAACTCCACTCGAGGCCGCGCCACCAATCGCTAATTGCGCCGCCGTCGGTTGAAGCTCTCGAACTGGACTATTCTCGACTCACTGCGTTTCTTGAAGCCGATCGCTCGTTTTTCTCGCCGTGGAATTGGAGCCCAAATTACGCACCACTACAAGATCATCGTGCCGATACTTTCACCAATTTTGCAGGAGGAAACCAGCGCATGATGTTTTTGTTAGGCTCATTCTTCAGCGACGATGATCATCAGGTTATTCGCTAATTTCTTAAATCCTCGATTATGTTTCCGGAAAATTAATCCCCAATTTCGGCGTCGAATGATCTAATTTTGTATGTGAAAATTGAATAAACAATCGCATCCATTTCGAATCTGATTATGGAGTTGGAGTTCATTTTGATCCTCATTTCTTTCGAGTCATTTTCACGATTCTTGAAAGATAAACGATATAACGAACGATTTATTATTATTTTTTTAATCTACAGGAATTGAAGAACACCAGGCGCCGAGAAGGCGCGATCCAAAATCCGGATTCCAGTACTGATTTCGAGTCTCTCACTACCATTGTGCCCTAAACTTGTAGGCCTGTCATTCTTTTTTATTTTCTTTGATTTTTTGTGAATTTTGATGTGAGTCGTTGGTGAAAAAATGTTTTTAAAATTTGGTGGTTTTTTATTTTGTAGCATTGAATGATTGTAAAAAAATTTTAAAATCACTTGACAGTAGTGTTCTTGAGAATCTCAAACTCATCTTATGCTTTGATTTAAGGCTTAATTATGAGCAGATTTGAAATCTTATCCACTCGATCTCAGTTAAAATCTTAGACAAATCTTAAAATGTTGAATACAGTTTATTTTTTTTTATTGTATATAAATATTTTTAATTAAATCAAATCCATGCTTAAAAAATTGTTCTATACATATACATATTTTACAATTATTATAATTATCGTCACAATGTTATATCATGGTTCCTTAACAATTATTGATATATATTATACGCAATTATGATGATTATATTTCTTGAAGTTGGCAAAATAATCATTATTTTATCTTATCTAATTTAAAAGAAACTAACACAAAAAATTGTCCCAATAAGTTAAAAGTAAAGTGTTTATGTAACACACATTTTGATTTTGTGTAATCAATTTTAATAAATGCAAAATGATAATATATATTGCAAAACTACTGATTAAAGTTATACTTCATCACTTCTTAAAGAGATAATGTGTATTGACTTATATTTTACACATTTGAAATGAAAAATTATTATAAATTTATGAGGAGGCAACTTTTTTCTTCTTTGCACGAGAATTACATCCACACTATTTCTTAATTGGGGAGGAGATGACTTAATATCTTACATGTATTATCTGAGGAAAACCATTATTTCAATTGTTCATAAATAATGGAGCAATAAATTATATGAGATTCAATGAACAAAACATTTCGTATAAAAAAAATATTAATAATGATAGATCAAACACTATTCTATTCAATTTGTAACTATTGTTCCAAGAAGATCGTGGTTCATGTTCGGATAAGTTTACTTTGTTTTCCTTGTCGAAATTAGTTTGGTATTTCTTGGAGTGCAAGATTAGATTGAAAAAAAAAAAGCTTGACGAAGAATCTACTCATTTATTAATTCTTCAATGCGAGTCTCTTCGCACTTGAGAGTAAAACCCAAGCTTCATATGGCTACAGTAAGTTCCCTTAATCGTGAAAACAAAATATTTCATTTTTAATAACCGAAGGTCTTAATTAATCGGTGCAGAGAAAATAATTGGATCAAGGATGATATATAATTTT